TATATGTATTATACAGAATTATCAAACTGAACACACGTTCAGTGAGTAAAAGATATTGTCTTAGCATAAGGTTGAAATACGCATACGTATTTAGCGATTGGCTGTATTTAATCAATGACTTACGATTTACTGATAAAAAATCGAACAGGAAGAAATGTAAAAACAAGACAATTGAACATCTTATTAATTGCTTATTTATCGGATTTCCTTGTTGTTGTTTTTTTAATTTTATTTACTCAAATTCAAATTTCAAATTCACTGTCATGAAGTCATAAAAAAATCCCAAAGACAAACTTATTTGTATAATCGAATTTATGTAAACGGTTATACTTTTTCTGTGCCCTTTTAAAGCATTGTGCAATGTATAATATAATGATAATAATAATAATAATAATAATAATAATAATAATAATAATAATAAAATCTTTATTTATAGAAGGTAACATACATATATAAATTGTTATGCTGGTAAGCTGAAAATATACAGCAGCGTTTCAAAATCATAGATTCATTTATTATACTAAGAAAGCCCTATTATAGCCTTATTCGTCATTTTCCGATTATGGACTCGTAGCTCCTGGAATTTGATAGGTCTAGTAATTAAGCGGGAAAATTGGATCATCATCATCATCATCATCATCATTATTATTATTATTATTATTATTATTATTATCATTATTATTATTATTATTATTATTATTATTATTATTATTATTAATATTATTATTATTGCTATTTTTATTATTATTATTATTATGGCTATTATTATTATTATAATTATCATAATTATTATTATTACTATTATTATTATTATTACTATTATTATTATTTTATTATTATTACTATCATTATTATTATTATTATTATTATTATTTTTGGTATTATTATTGGTATAATTATTATCGCCATTATCATTATTGCTGTTATTATTCTTTAAGCGGGAAAAATGAAATCATCATCATCATTTTTATTATTATATGTAACTATTGCTATTAATGCTATTATGATATTATCAATATTCGTTACCATTTATTAGAACTGATATGTTGACAAGGGAAGTAAGCGAATTATACCACATATTACATAATTATAGCAATAGGTTACATCCCTTGGTTCTGTTGGTATTATCAGACAAATCTTTACTTCCTATGTGCATGTTTCTGACCGTGCGTAATTGAGATCTTATATATAGTTTCAGATGATTTATTTTGTCATAACGAAAACTTAATTTGCACCTTTCATAAACATTTAAGACTTTCTTTTCAGTCTTTCGATGTATTACAATTAGATAGAATCTGCTTTCCCGTAAATTAATTTTGACTTGTTAATAAAAAGATATACTTGTGTATAAAAAGTGTTTCTTATTAACTTTTATCAGAAAGTTATGTTAATAATTTGAAGTATATCACATGAAAGTCAACGTATAGTGGAATCAGTTATTGTAACAAGCTGTTGATAATTGAACGCTGATAACAACTTGCACTTGGAATGTTTAAGGGGAGCGGTGGCCTAGTGGTTAAGGTGTCTGCCTCTCAACCCAGGGATCATGGGTACAAGCCCTAATCGTGCCACGACCATGTTTCTTCATATAACACCTGTACTGGTTGGTCCAAGGAGCTTCTCTGTGGGTGATTTCCCACGATTTGTTCAGCTATGTTAAAGTTCAGTACATCTACTTCATATGCTTGGCTAGAGCAAACATCTAAGCCTACTCGATCTTTCAAGACCTTCCATAGTAGGTGTTCTCTACGATAGCCCAAAATCAAATGAACCTTGCTTTTTACATATGCATAGTCGTTCGTGAAACGGTCGAATGACGCACAAATGACGTTCAATGGACGCAAAATGGACGTTCCTTTACCTTTAGTCACACGTTTTGTGCGCTTCAAGACCCTTCAGCGGTCGTTGACAGGTCGCCGAGTCCTTCAATGCAAAGCAAACGAGTAGCGATTGAGTAACGGCTGACTACCGATAGACGAACGTGTGTAACGCTCAGTGAAAGTTGGTAAAACGTTCCATGAACGTTCTTAAACGTTTTTCAGCGTTTGAAATTTAAATGTTGAAGAACGCTGGTCTGAGTGAGAACTTTTGTGCATGTTCAAAACTTTTTTTTTCGGACCAGCGTGCTCTACGCCGATTCGCAGCGATTACAGACGTTTTACTGGCGTTCACACAGCGTTCTTCTGGCGCTATACTAGCAACCTTGGGCGACTTACATCGTTTCCAAAAACGCCATAGAACGCTCACCAGAACGTCATGGTGTGACGGCCCCCTAAACGAGTGTGTCTTTAATTTCATATTTAATTTGATAAAATGTTGATAATTAAAGTCATAATAATTTGAATATATGTCTGACCGATCAGGGATTGCAAGATCAAACTGTACACCCGTACAGTAGTAAAAGATCTTCCTACAAAATATTGTCTTGGCAGAAGGTTGAAATACGCGTATGTTTATTGATTGACTGAAATGAATCAATGACTAACGATTTGCTGATAAAATATCGATCAGGAAGAAAAGTAAAACGTAAAATTGAACATTACTTTTTAAGTTGCTTATTTATCAGACTTCCTTGTTGTTTGCCAATCGTGTGATAATTAAATTCAGATGTAAAATGCACTGTCATGAAACTATAAAAAAACGAAGACAAATTTATTTGTATAATTGAATTTATGCAAACGGTAATTTTTTGAGTGCCCTATTAAAGTATTGTACAATGTACAATAAATTGTTATGCTGATACCCTGGAAATATACAGCAGCGTTTCAAAATTATAGATACATTTATTATACTGAATAGGCTAAAACTTGTTCCTTCGTTTTTTTGTATGAAACTTACAGTGTCTAACATTTTACGAGCCTAATGAACATTTTTACAAAACAATCATATTTTCATTGACACTTTATAAACCCCCTATACAATCATTATATCTTTTTGTGGGCATATGCTCTAGATGTATGTTATTGAGAATCACTGACAACTTATTTTGCCGTGTTTTAAACATATATTAATGTGGCATGCAAATAAAGAAATATGTCAAACGTATTTAATTCGTTGTGACACATCCTTATGTTATCTATGGAGGGGTTTTAAACAGGTAGCTAAGAGCTTTTTTGATTTATTTGTACCAGAGTAGAACAAGGGACAGATTTTATAGTCGTAATCTTCAAATACCTGACTACGCTGTCACATGATTAATTTACTGCTGCGATTTTGACCTTAAACTAAAGGTTATCTACCTAATATACATGCGTATTTACACTTTCACTTCCTATTCTGTTTATGGTACGAAACGGGTATAAAAAAAAGCCCGCATTATCAATCGATGCATGTGCATGCATTTTTAAGATTGTAAATTTCCATTTAGATAGCTTAACATGGGTATTATATATATACATGTATGTTTATAAAAACAAACAACTACTAAAGAGGTTTTCATTAAAGGCGTTCAATGTGTCTGTACACAGTGAGCATTTAATCTATTTTGTAATTTTTGAACTCATTTGTAAATTTTGAATTCATTTAAAGATTTTAATATAACATTTTTTAATAATATTTTACTATAAATAAAAAAATATAAATAAATAAATAAATAAATAGATAACAATAAATAAATAATTCAGTGAAATATGTGATGGTAAAGATAGTTAATAAACAAATCCTCAATGTTGACTTTCGCAATAATATTTTGTTCATGTGTAATATTTCTTTCTTAAATAATTATGTGCTTTATCTACACTTCATGTTCATATTTTACATGCATTTGTATATATGCATATACTCATGTTTTCTTTCTTATTTTCTATGTTAGTATTGTAGTTCTTAACTAAAGGGGGCGTCCCTGGCCGAGTGGTTGAGGTCGTTGGCTTCAAACTACTTGTCTCTCACATCCGCGCCATCGTCTTCAAATTATTTCATGTGAGAGAGCTATCCAGTTAGCGAAAGGAACGTTGGTGGTTCTACTCAGGTTCTTGCTTGTGTTTGATATAATTCACAAAGGGTCATTGAAGGTCTTCCTCTACTTTTAAAGCTGGAAAGCAGTTATATGATCTTTACTATGTTGATGTGATGTACTCTTCATCGGATAAAAAAACCCTTTTTATCTTTATTAATATATCAAGTGTTACTTAAAAAATTAAATAATTTCTTTTGGGCTTGTTCATTGAAACATTAAAAAAATTTTGTATGAGTGAAATTTAGCCCCGTAAAAAAGATAATGAATTTTCAGGGAAAAAAATATAAAATTAAAAATATTTGAAAAATTTATTTTTGGGTTGCGGTTGAGAGGTTTTTTTTAAAAAGGTAGATATTTTTTAAAATTTTTTCCTTTGGGAATTTAAAAAGGGGAAATTTGGCTCTCCCAAGAGGGACGCTCTTTTAAGGGTTGTAAAATTTATTTATTTTTTAAAATATTTCCCCCAAAATAAAAACATTTTACAAAAACGGTAAAATAATTTTTTTTTTTTTATTTGCCTTTGTACTTTTCTTAAAGGGTTTATGGTTTTTGCATAATTTTTTTAAATTACTGTTAATATCAGGGTGATTTTTTTGGGTTTACTACGAAACCAGTAAATGTTCCGGTCCTTCCCGGGTAACCAGAAAAACATTTTTCTAGTAATTGATTTCAGTCAAAATTTTTGCAGGGCCCCAAAAATTTTCTTTTTATGATTCATAATCTTTAAACTGTATTAAAATACCTTTTATTTTGACGACTTCATTGGGTTTAAATTTTTTAAAAATTTAAAAAAGATATTTTTTTAAAAAAACCCAAATAGGGCGGGACTGCTTAAAATTTTTTGGGTTTTTCCTTTTTATATAACCCCCACCCGACCCAATTTCCCCTTATCAATTAATTTCCAATCAATAAAAAAAATTTAAAAGAAAACCCATTTTTGACTAAACGAGGATAAAAACCCCCCCCTGTATTAAGCCGTGATAAACCGAAACTCATGAGGGGTTTTTAAACCCTTTGGTTCATTTAAATTTCCTTCAACTAAAACCCCCAAACATTATAAATACGGTGAAAATTTTGAAAAATGGAGTAAAAACTATTTACGTGAAATTAACATTACTGTGAGAAAACTCTTTAGGCGGCAAAAAAGCGCGGTTATTAAAAAAGGGCGTGGCTCACGGAATATAGTATTAATTTTGAATTTCAGTTTATTAGAACGGATAAAAAAGGTATTTCATTCATTGTGTTTATATTTATTTCACTTATTTCGTAAAATTTATAAATATCATCCATAAAAATTGTTTTCATCTATGGAATAACGTCGCCTATGTATAATGTAATCCCAGGTTCAAACAAGACCATAATGTTCACTTGAATTTAACTTTGGTTTAATTTATTCCTAAGCACGGTGCGGTATGGTTAACTATGACACACAACACACATCTCTTTATAATATAAATAATATTATGTATCTGATTGTTTATGTGTTTAACTTAACACCGGGATAGTTATTTGATAATAGCACATTTTATAATTTACAAACGTTGTCAGTTATGTAACATGTGTTCCTTAAAAAGTTGTTTAATTTTAACCCAATTTTTTATATTAATTAAACCATTTTACTCTTTTTTCAACTGAAAATTGATATATTATATTACAGCCTTCTTGCCCGCCCTAAGATTACAAAAAATGTCGAAACACCCGACATTAACAAAAATAAATTGATGTCAGTATTTGATATTTCAAACATTTGTGCATTTAATTTGTACATTAAGTAAATGTGTTTTTGGAAAGAAAATTAATCACTTCCTAATTTACATATTTGCCATCACATACCTTTGGTTCTCTCTGTCAGTTATAACCAAGCAGTTTAATATAAGCTATCCAAAGTACATTGTTTAATGTATGACACCTTAATCATAACATAACACAATCTGTATTAGGCATAATATACAGCATAAGCATATAATAAGCATAGATTTTCACACGAAAGGGATAAACATGTAAAAGAAGTATAAAATGTTTAAACAATTTACAAAATAATGATACAAATTTACGTGCTTTAATAAGTTAAAATCTTAAGGTCCATTTTTTCAATTAAAATAAATATTCAAATAAATTTATAAGTTCTTTAGAATATTGGCGTGTCATTAAAATTTATATTTATATTAATTTTAATAGAACATGTAAGCCATCTTCAGAAATATGGTTTAAGATATTGTTTTCCTAAGGCATACTAATTTGGACATATAAGGAAGAAATGAAATTCGTTTTCTATTACACTCATAAAGCATTTTATTTTGCATTTTTCTTTCCTTGATATCTACCTATTTCGATTGCAAGGTTATAGTCGATTAAAAATTTTTTTGACAAATTTCTTAATTTAAAAATTTATTTATAACAGATAAGCCCGAAAAAAATCATTTTTGGAAAAATACGGGGAAAAAATTTCTACTCATTGTTTTTGACAACAGGGGGTAAATTCCTGCCCTCTGAAAAATATTTCCATTTTTCCCCTATACAAAAAAATTTCATAAAATAATTGCATCAAAATTTGGGGGGAAACCTAAAATTTTAAAAATAATCTTTAAAACCAATATTTGTTCTAAACCTTTTTTCATAACCCAAAAACTTCTCGAAAAAGAAATTCAGAGAAATTTTGACTTATTTAAAACCCGTTGTAGGGTTTAGGAAAAAAAAATTCAAATTTTTTTAAAATTAACAAATAAAAATTTTTCGAAATTTAAACCAAAAAAACACAAATAGTTTTTTTGTAACAACCAAAAATAAACAAAAATGTTTTGAAAACCATTTTATTTTCTTTTTTTAAAATCACAGCTTTGCAAATTTATGGGTTGATTGTTTAAGCAATGGACTATTCCATATTGTTAAAAACTGTAGTGTTCATATCTTCTATTCAAATTATTATAGAAAACTCTTATTTGACGACTTCTCTCAATATCTTTTTAAACATAGTAATGTATTTAACATCAAGCCCACATCAAGTGACTTAAATTGAAAAGTTCCGTGTCTTTTACAAGATTTATCACAGTCAGATATGAATAACGCATTTAAATCTTTTATAATACTATTTTTTACCGTAAATGTTGAACGTAGATATCGAAAACGCATATAAAAAAGTTAACTTCACAACATATTTTGGGTTGTGTTTTGCGTCGCACCAACACTGTTAAGGACATATGGAGCCTGTTCAGCATTATTGGTGAAGAAAGACCTCAGATGCGCGTCTGAGCGTTATTTTAGACCGACTTTCCTTAAGCTGGTTTATAGCTGTTCTACATGAAAGAATGACAAAGTCCTGGCAGGATTCGAACCCTCAGTGATGAAGGGCAAGTGAGTTAAAATCAACCTTAATCACTCGGCAACGGGTGACCCTACACAACATAACAAACCAAATCGAAAACTTTCTATCATTATTTTTATTTTTGACCCCAAAGTGCGTTGGACGCTAAAGTGCGATGCGAAATGTAACATAGCAGTGTTACATAGCCTTATTCGTCATTTTCCAATTATGGGCTCGTAGCTCCTCGAATTTAATCGGTCTAGTAATTAAGCAGGAAAATTAGATCATCATCATCATCATCATCATCATCATCATCATCACCATCATCATCATCATCATCATCATCATCATCATCATCGTCATCATCATCACCACCACCACCAACACCACCACCACCTCCATCATCATCATTATCATCATCGTCATCGTTATTATTATTATAATTATTATTATTATTATTATTATTATTATTACGTTCAAAAAGTTTGTAATTGGACTTTGATATTACAAAATGCAGCTTACAGCAACATAGTCTTGCACTATAAAGTTTATTGATAAATCTGAGAGATAAATTCTTAATATGTCATTGTTTCTTGATGATAAAATTATTTTACCCATCTACTTTTACATGCTGGGTAAGATATTTGTTATTGTTCTGTTTTAGATTTAAAAAGAATATGAAATACCAGGCAGGATTAGTTGTTTATACGATAGTGATAATGAATATGATAGGTGAGTATCTTACCATCATAAACAGATTCCGTTGGTTTTAGTGTTTTACTATGATTAGTGTTACATTCTTTTTCAATTTTTAAAGACCAAATAACATAGCTTGTGCCAAGCCCAAAGAATATCTTTATAATCTGACATAAAAGAAATTAATTGTCCCGTATTTTAATTCATATTTCACTAATCTCTTCCTTCTGAAAAGTGATGATGTATAATATGTCTTAATTTTCAAATATATATACCATCCAGCCAAAATTAAATTGCATGTCACAGAAAATGCCCCCCGACCCCCCTCCCCCCAACAAAAATGCCTTAGAAATTCTTTAATTTTTATTTAACAAAAACATTTTTTTATATTTGATGTATTTCTATAGTTTCCAAAAGGTTACTCATTTACCAATTATCTTGACCACTTTTATCTCTATTGCTTTTTTGGCAATCAGTTACATTTATAATGATTTAGTATTTGAACGAAAGTCACAATACTTCTTTGTTTACATTTTGTTACTTTTATGGCAAATAATTTCAAAATAAGCGGTGTTTTTCAGGTAACAAGCATCTGATATGGTCTAAAACATTATCTAATGTTATAATACTTATGTTTGCTCTTTCCAAAGAAGTTTAAAAAAATCGTTTCTCAGACTTAATGTATCTTTAAGTAGCTTCATCATCGATAAATTCAGTATGGTATTATGATTCACAGGTCAGTGTCGGTGTCAGGGACGAGCACCAACTGTGAGTGGAGTACCGTCTTATGTAACATTTGATGAGGGCATTGACAATGGTAATTATAAACTCCTTCATAGAGAATAATTGAGTCGTGTCACGACAAAACCAACATATTGGGTTTGCGACCAACATGGATCCAGACCAGCCTGCGCATCCGCGCAGTCTGATCAGGATCCATGCTGTTCGCTTACAAACACTATTACATGTAGAGAAACTGATAGCGAACAGCATGGATCCTGATCAGACTGCGCGGAAGCCATTATGTTGGTTGGTTTTGTCGTGACGCGGCTCAATTCAGTTATATCAAATGAAATAGTAATAGCAATAGACTTTTTCTGTTACTTTATTTTTAAGGTAAAGTAAACACTCAAAGTCACCCACCTGGTTGTAAATTTCAAAAAAAAAATATTGCAGTTCTTTACAGTTGTCGGTTGTTATAATTTATCGATGTTTAATATTATATTGTTGTTTTTTCCACCCAGGTACAGTGTTGTTTACTTTTACTGCAACTTCGTCAGATCAAGATGAAAGAGTTACAGTTCAACCAATAGGATTCGACACTTTAAGTTTGGTTTCAATAAACCAAACTTATGGGAGTAACATCAGTGTTCAAGTTTTAACAGAAGTAGTTTTAAACCGAGACGAGAAGCAAAGTGGATTGGTGAGTTTATATTTGTAAGCCGAAATATTAAGTTTTATAAATGACAATCAATTAAAGTGTGTTGTTTAAAAAAATGTCAATTCTTTTAACACTTCTTCAGCAAATGATAGCTAAACTTCCACCATTCATTTAACAAACATTAAGCCTACAAAATTAAATAAAGTCATACCATTTAGTTATTTAGTTCATACATTATCATACACACAATCTTGTTTATCACAAATTTTACAAATTTTAGCCAGGACGTGGTACTGTCGTGCTTGAATTTGTTGTTACAGATCTAAAAAATAATGTCGTAAGTACATCTTCATAATGTATCATTTATTTCTCCATTTCCCATTTTCTATTTTATATTTACATTTAAATTTCGACGTTACGTCATGTGACTTTCATCATCATGTGACGTCTGTGAAGGCAGTGATTATAATCTGTAAAGGGAGGTAATCACTGTGAGGAGTTTGGCAATGACGAGGGTAACTGTTTACGGCGGTAACGAGTCTCTGCCGAGTTTCCACTAAACAGTTACGTGAGAGCTAGATATTCCCGTCTGTACCAACAGCCGGTGTTTGATTCTTTTTCTTGCATATTGCATGTCAAATATTTTCGGAACAGACATTATGAAAACTGATATTCTCATTACGCACTTTTTTCTTATAGAAGCGTATGAACATACAACTGCATTCACAACGGAAAAATGACGTCATCCTAAGAACGCGATTCATTCATAAAATGCGCGCGTCAATGACGTCATTTAAGCACGCGACTTGTCTTACATGGGGGTGGGGGTGTAAGACAGAGTTTTCTTGCATAGCAGACTGGCGTTTCTGTGAGTTTTACCCATGCCGGAAATTCCATCTAGCATAGGGGGTGCCAGATGAGTCGCGTGCCAAACAACAACGTCATTTTAGCGCACTTTATGAATGAACCGCGTTAAAATGACGTCATTTTAGAAGGGAAATATGTGCTTAGGATGACGTCATTTCGCCGTTGTTATTTAAGTTGTAAGTTCATACGCTATTGTAAGAAAATAGTTATGGATGAAATGACTTTAATTTCCATGAACATATATCATATTGAGGTAAACCATTTTAAATATGAAATAATATGGCAGAATATGCAAGAAAAAATATCTTTGGCAAGCCTCGTTACCGCCCAATGGGCGGGTCCCCTCGGGACGGATATCCCGGTCCGAACCGCAACATATGACAGATATTATTATTCTAGCACCGGTGTAAACGGTAGATAATCCTGTCTGACATGCAAGAAAATGCGATGACGACAGTGCGATAATGCGACAGTGCGATAGTGCGATGGCGACATGGCTGTAATGTGACACTGCGATAGTGCGATGGCGACAGTGCGACAAAGCGATGACGACAGTGTTATAATGCGAAGCACTGTCGTCATCGCATTATCGCACTGTCGCATTATCGCACTGTCGCCATGGCACTATCACATCGTCGCCATCGCGTTATCGCATTGTCGACTATCTCCTTCCGGTACACATGCTCTTGTATCTGATTGGGCGGCTCTTAACTGCTGACAAATAAGCTGACCATATAGAACGGAAAATAATTTTAATTTTGTAAATAGATTTTTTTATTAATTTTTTTTTTGGGGGGGGGGTGTCTTTTTCCTTTTTCTGTTTTTTGATAAGTAGCATAGTAGCATTTTATATCAAAGATAGGGAAACTACTTAAAGAGTTATACATACACGGAAAATGTAATGAATCGTGTAAAACTTTAATATAGTCGAAAGATATCAGATGAAAATGATGTTATGTTGACATTTAAAAGATGCAAAAATGTAAAAAATATTGTTTTATTACTTATATTAACAGACAAACAACAGACAAACAATCAATAATTCATAGCTGGTAGGAAACTAGGGGTTATAAATAACCAACTACCATCTAGTAAGTAGTTGGTTATTCGAATATCCAACTACCTACCAATTGACGCTCCTTGTACTATATTTAGGATTTTATCAATGTCTAAGATGGGGCCATTTTTGGTGCTTCTTGAATTTAGCGCTTATATTTTTCTTAAAGATAATAAATAAATATGATAAACCCTTTACCTCATGAGCATATTGTGAAAAATGGCCTTTTTTTTTTTTTGAAAAGCCTCCTGTTACAAGTTCAAACTGCTATGAAACTATGAAAAATCCTTCAATACTAATTAAACTTGGCGCCTCTGTAACAGCATGCTCAATCTTAAATTTCCTGTTACCATGGCAACGGGGAGACGTCTCAAAATTGCCAAAAAAAACCCAAAAACAACAACAATATTTTGCATTGTTTTTTCCATCAAAACTGATTTCAAAGTGCTGCAACTTTTCAATTGATTGAGATAGAGTAAAAGGCTTTTCAGCATTGGTTACACGTTACCTTACGATCGACCTGAGGCCTTTTTTAGCCTGTCAAATGTTTAAATTTTTCTTGGCGATGAGGGGTACAGCCGCCCCTTCAAACCCCAAGCAGTTTGGGGCACATCCGCCTTCTGGCAACCCCTTGATGTACCATTTTGATGGTGGGGGCGGCGCCGAAAAAATTGATCACTTTTTAACAACATTTCTCAATGTTGATGTTTTGATTGAACAGTTATTACAAATAATAATATAATTTGATCATATTTATATACCCAATACAAAAAAATCTTCATTCATTTCGAATAAACTGCAGTTTAGTCGGGTAATTTTGACAAAAACCCAGCGGTAAGGTGTCTGTCGGGTTACACTTGCGTTGACTTCGAGATAACATAATTATCTTCTTAAAACTTGAAATGATTGTTATTACAGCTTTATTTCCTTTAAGAGTAATCAATTCCCTACCATTTGGAAACAAGATATTGAAAATTGGTGAAAAAATGTTGTAGTTATGGAGTTCATATTAGGATGAATGCTGACAAATTGAGCGGCGAGTTGCATACCATTACTAAATATATAATAATTATGTATAAATTTTTTATTTTTTGTGGGAAATGAAGGTAATTGAATTAAAAGCATATATCAAATATTAAAACATGTTTCAAATGAAAAATACTGCAGTTAATATGGTTTTGAGTAGTAGGAGGGTTGTAAAGTGGGTGAGGGGGGGGGGGGTGGTAGTGACCAATCAACGCGCCGAACACCTATGTGCATACACAAAGAACAATAAAATCCAGTTCTCATTAGTTAACATATTTTATTTATAAAAGCATGAATAAGAATATTTTCACGATATCAGTACAATTATTGTTAATGTTTTCTTGTGATAATACAAATGAAAATGATACATTATTAATAAAATGTTTTGAGAAAATGACCAGTATTGACGCATTCTCTCTTTTTTATTCATAGGTTTCTGCTGAAACGCGGCTTTATATCAATGACATAAACGACAATGATCCAGTTCTAAATCCACGATCATACACATGGGGAATATCTGAAGTTGGTTCAAGTCTATAAAATCACTTCTTAACTGATACTGAAAAGTTTATAATACATTCTTAAGTCAGAAATTAACACAAGTCTCAGTTTGATACAACTAGTGCTCTTATAAGTATATTTTGTTTTGAAAAAGATATTTCGAAAACTGTTCTCCTTAAGAAATATATGATTAATCAAAAGCTAATGTTGTCTCCGCTGACTTTTTTGTTTTCATGAGATAGAAAAATATTTAAAAAGTTGCAGCGGCTTATCTTACAATTTCTACCAACTAACTTACAAATAAGATTTACTAAAATATAAAAAAAAAAAAAAAAATAGATGCTATAAAAAAATCAATAAAAAATCCATACACAAATCAACAACGTATATGTATCTTCAGAGACCTGGAAACGATAAGACCTTCTCTCAGATTTCCGCAACTGATGCCGACTCTGGAAGCAACGGTGAAACTGGATTGCGGTATGCTATGAAGGTAGTTAGTTTTGTGTGTTAGTTAAAGAACCAGCGCATGGTCATGCACAAACAAGTAGGACGAAATTGCTTATGCAGAAAGTAGTGTACATATTAATATTTTGATATGTTTTGCTTCCTGAAGATTTTATTATATACTTGTAACTAGGTTTTCTATTTAGAAAATCCTAGTTATTAGATAGGCGAATAGTGGGCGGGCGGTAGAAGAGGTTGTCCAACATATAATTTCCTCTCAGTAACTAGAGTTAAGAATGAGATTATGTATTAGACTTGATATATTGCAAGCTCATGTGGATACCTTAATTGGTACCGCTTTCGGTCCCCATAGGGGGATCACTGTTACTAAAAATATAGAAATGATTTTGGCCGATCACCAGAGTTAGGAATTAGATATTGTATTCAAACTTAATATTGGGCAAGCGTTTCTGGATATCTCGCTTTGAATTACTCCCCACCCTGTGGTGTACATAATCAAAGTCACTGTTATCAACAATAGAACATCTTTCCGGTCAATAATTAGAGTTTAGATTGCGATATTGTAATCAAACTTGGAATATAGCAAGCTGATGTGGGGACCACCTTTGAAATTGCTTTAGTGACGCTATTAGGTCAAGGTCCAGGTCATTTTAGAAAATTTGTTTCGGCAAATAAATGGAGAGAGGAATTAGAATCAAACTTGAATTTAAAGGAAATATTTGTAGACAACTTGCACGGGATTGTTTCCCCCCAGGGTCAAGGTCAATGTCACTGATATTAAAAATAAAAAAAAATGGTTTCCGGTCAATAACTTCAGTTAAGTATGAGATAATCTTTTCAAACTAAGCAAACAACAAAAACTTGGTACTGCTTTTGGACCCATAGGATCTAGGTCAATGCCACTCTTACTAAAAATAGAAACCTGGCTTCAAGTTAATAACTAAAGGTAGGAATGAGATGATCTTTTCAAACTTGGTATAAACTACGCTTATGTAGAGACCTGACAAGAGTTTTCATTTTGATTACCAATTTATATTTATTATTTAATATTAAAAATTTGAGGGTCAGTATTAAAGTTTAGATGTATATAAATATCTTGTCAATACAAAGTGATACACACCTGCTAAATTTTGCAAAGTATTGTTTTGAGGATTTGTTGAAATAAGTTTTGATTTATCAATGTTTGTATCACTATTTTCATATGCATTTGATATTAAATCTAGCGTGTTGCAAGACCAGGTGAAACATATTGATATAAATTGTAATAGTAGTTGCAATTCCAGTGTTATGATTTACATTTAAAACCTAAATACCATTGCCTACAATAGCAACCACTCCAACAAGGTCATTACAAATTCCTTTGGCTATCTCTTTTCTTCATCAGAAAATATCAAAAGACAAAAAGCATGACTATTATTAGACAATGTAAAGAAACAAATATGCCATACACAATAAGTATAAACTTTTACTTGAATTAAAATTAAAATAGCTAAGATATATGTGTGGAAAAAATGTGAGTGAAGATTACGACCCCGCGAATTTAAACACCAATATCTATGTATTTGTTTTAAGTTTTTGTAAAATATTGTGTTTGTTTTTTTTCAGGCGACTTCACAGGTAATCTTACTTTTTATTTACTACAATCAAGTTTCACTGGATAAATTCAAATAGAATCCAAAATTAGACTCTATCATTAAAATTGTTCTACCAATAAAAAATATGTAAACATGTAAAATAATTATATTTAATTGAATTACGTATACAAATGAGCAAATAACATCTGTATCTTTTATACAAACAATTTTTATTTCTTACAGGATATTCAAAATATATATTTATATATTATATGTAAGTTCATTTTGTATTTGATAGTCGAACTCGACAGCCATTGCATACAATGAAATGTTCGAAATGGACTCAATATCAGGAGTTGTTAAATTAAGTGAGGGGAAAGAGTTAGACTATGAGACAAACAGCTATTACCAGTTCAACATTACAGTGACGGTAAGCATCAATAAGGCTTGTAAATCTTTGTTAATTATGCAATTAAAGAATAGATATTAAAGATAAGATATAAGATTAAAGATTACAATTAAATATTTATTTTTGTTAAAAAAAATTAGAATGCAATTTAATAAATACAAGATACATGCATTAAGGAAATATTTAACAAACAGAAATGATTTGAATTCTTTTCATTGAAGTAAGTTTATTTCATACTTTCCAGTGTTTTATTGTAATATATCAGATGATTATATTATGATAAACCACTAGTGAAATTTATAATATATAATTTTCACTGTAGCCGGACTATATCCGAATGCGGATGAAAAGAAAATCATAACTAAATGGAATAACAGGCAGAAATAAATGCCGTCATACATAAATTGTGCTTCTTTAGGAAAAGGAAGTGATGTTACCATACATCATGTTAAAAGTTTTACAAAATTAGAGAAATTTAACAGAACTATATTTCAAAATTGATGATGTGACGTCATGATGTGATGACCTCACAAAGGAGAATGCGCGACGTTACGCGGCAAAATCAGTAAAAAGTACTTAAAATCACTTAAAAAGCATGAAATAAAAAGAAAATGTATTTGTTTTACATATAAGATAGAAATATATTTCATTCGTGAACACCAGCTATTATATTTTCACTCGTGGCAACGCCACTCGTGAAAATATTGCATCTGGTGTTCACTCAGTGAAATTATATTTCAATCTTACATGCAAAACAAACAAATATCCTCTATATACTTACTTGAATATAGCTTTTGTCGGAATAATCAGTTTTTGTCACAAACCGTTAAGTGCTTTGGAAATAAAAAGAGGCGCAGTTGAGAGAACATTTTAACTTTACCGAATTCATCACACTGTATCTTCCGTGAATCCATGTGTAGTACATCGGTAAAATTATTCTTTAATTCATGTGTGTTAAAATGCAAAGCCAGTATATTAAAACAAATTACACAGAAGAACGATAAATGTAACAAAAAGACGAAAAAACTATATAATGTATTCGAATGTAAGTTCTATTTTAACAATCGAGTTGTTTTTACATTTACTCGGACATAACAGGATGAAAATGGACATGGGCGAACGGGAGAGCCTGGAGATCTGATTATACGAGTTTTAGACGTACAAGATTCACCTCCGTTCTTTACGAGAATTCCATACAGGACCACAATTGTAGAAGAGAACATTTCTGTGGTAATAAGACTCCTTTAAATTGTAACCCAAGTTATCTTCTCAATTTCAAAAGAATCTTCCGCATTAACACATGCCCTTAAACGTTTTGTTTCGTTAACAAATGCATTTCTACCAAGTTAAAAACTACATATTTGTCCTATTTTGAAACTCTGACACCTATATCTAGATCAATGCAATTCAACCGATGACATTTTATATTCAGGATACCACTGTTATCTCGGTAACTGCAACGGATGGAGACTCCGGTGTTCCTAATAGAGTAAATTATACTATACTCAATGGTAAGTTATTAAAATTGTAACACTGTCAAATTATTTAAAGTACAATATTAAAATGATGTCTTACTCGTGAAGAGACTTTGGAATTGAAAGATATTTTATTTAGAATTTCACAAAAATCGAAGAAATACAATGCTATACACAAATATTATAAATGTCATATCCTAGTTGGTATTATTTTCAAGGGACATGTTCATCGTTGTTTGAAATAAATCAGAACGGTGACATAAAAACAACAGCTAACATAGACAGGGATACAGGAGATGTTTACGATGCGTCTGGCGTGTGTATTCTAAATGTTCTGGTAAGCTTTACAATATTTCTATTAAATGATAATTATATTTGTTCATATTTTGTTGCTTGAATTTTTCTCATATGAAAATTCATAAATACAACGTGTTTATAGCGAATTACCGCAAATATTTTTTTGATAAGGAAAAAAATTATTGTTTGTACTTAGTTTATTAAGTAAAATGATGTGACAGATAGAATTAAATATTGTTTCCTGTGCCACCGACCATATGCAAAAACATATAATGAACCTCTTGGAACAGGCCCAAGAAATAGACGATGACCCGAACAAGCAGTTTGGAAATACAACAGCGATCACAGATGTGACGATATCCGTTGAGGATATTAATGATAATCTACCTAAATTTGGAAGCACAACGTATAACGCTACAATCCAAGAAAATACTCCAAAGAACGTTCCTATCACGCTATTATCCCCTGCTGAGATCATGATATATGATGCAGATCAGGTTAGTCTTCTTAACACGTTAACTTGTTTGCTGTTTAAGTATTTATATTCTTTTTACTCGACAAACTTTTTTCTCAAAATTGCTATGCAAAATATTTGGTCGAACATTATACGTATCCGATAAAAATATGTTTCATAAACATGCTTTTACCATTCGATATTGTATGTTCCCACGACCTTACTCGATTCTTTTATTAGTGTTTACTGTTATATTGCCATTTATTACCTTTTCAAAGATATATTGTAATCTATATAAAAGCAGTTTGCTTGTTAAAAGATAAAAAGTTATTTTTTTAATTTTGTGTAGGGTGAGAACGCAAGGATGGCATTATCCCTATCCTATCCAAATAGGACGACATGTAATGATTTCATCATTTCACCTTCTACCATCCCAAAGTCTGGTTCAGCTTTAATTAGAGTCAACAACACAAACCTACTTGATTATGAGACGATAAAGAGTATCACCTTTCTTGTATGTTTAACAATTACTCATATCAATAAAATAATTAGATAAGGCTAATATCGACACTAGTTTTGTTGGGATGTTAGTCATACAAACACTTTTAACATTTTCCTACTTACATCATTTTGAAGCGTTGTATCAATTAGTTATGATACTTTAAATAACTAAAAGAATTCAATACAGATAAATGTAAGGATGAACGTATGGAATACCTTTAGACCATAATCAGACATACTGCTCAATAAAGTACTTCTTAATAGTTTGTATATTGTAACCAGTACTGATAAACGTACAAGCGTAAAAACAAAATAAATTGATTTATTAGATCAAGAGAAGCATATTTCATGTCATACGTTTTTTTTTTAAATTCTAGATTGTAGCTCATGATAACGTAAATTCAACGACAGCAACGGTCACATTGTCGATTACTGACATGAATGACAACAACCCACAGTTTGGTAACTCCAGCTATGAGTTCAGTATAAAAGAGAACACCAAATCAAATGTTTCTGTCGGAAATATAACAGTAAGTTATCACGAATGGTTATTCGGTTTACCTTAAATGTTAATCTTACATTAGATACTTTAATTGTCTTTAGTTTAGATTTTTTATAATCCATATCAAAAGTGCCAGAAAATTGCATGAGTTGGGGTAAAAAATTATTTTTGTTAAGCCAGCCGACTACACGCCGCAATTCACCAAATTGATAATTCATTCCTTTGCAAAAACACGGGATACGGAGCTCAGATAATTTCTGTCACTTGCTAATGATATCAGACTCTGAATCCACGTTTCTTGATGCGATTTTTGTGTCGCTTGCTACAGAGTAGCCCACGACCAAATGATATCACCACTCCGTTGTCAATATGTCCGTCTGTCCGTATTACTCCTAAAAAAACTATTGGTGCAGTTTTATCCAAACTTTACAGGAATCATCAGTACCAACTCTAGTTGCGCACTTCGTCGGCATTTTTCAGTTAAATGATTTTTTGTGAGATTTTTTGGCTCTTAAATTATTTTTATTTTGAAAGTTTGTCGGGTCTACTGTTAGATCACTTAGTCTAATACAATTTTAATAAAAGGTTACATTATTCATCGGTACTTCAAGGACTTGAGCAATTTTCTGGTTGAATTATTTTTGGCTGAGTTATGGCCCTTGAATTAAAAAGACGTTTTGGTCTGTAACTGGTTTTTGTGTTGCCTGCTACACACAAGCTAATAGATGCTACAGAGTTGCCATGACTTAAAACTTGTCCGGAACAACTGATACAATTTCATCAAAACTTGTCGTGAAGATCATTACTATTTTCAAGTTCAATGATATTTGTCAGAGTTATTGACTTAACTTATTTTTTTAAGTTTCGTTTGGACTACTGCTCGTATACTACTAATACAATTTGAGTGAAATAAACAGGGTTGACAGGTACCCCAAAAACTTGTGCATAATTAATTAATGGATTTTCTGATTGAATGATTATTGTCTAAGTTACGGCCCTTAGACACAGGCAAAATTTTCATTTCTTCGATTTAAATTTTTATTTAAAAAAAAATGTTCTCGAAATGAATACACTAAGCAGTCAGGGGAACCAAAGTTTCCTTATAAAGAATGAAATGGTGGTTTCCCACGCGGGTCAGGTTAGAGAATTTAGATTTTACAATAGTTGTTACAGAGTCCAGAGCTTTTTTTAATTACATTACTTGTTTTAAAACTACTTGGTGACGCTGTCGGCGTTTCAAGCCAAAAATATACCAGTATAGTATCTAAACGGAAATTCATGCAAGGACTTAAAAATGTCATTTTAGCATGATTTGAGTAAATAAGGTCAATTTAATATTTTTGTCATTCATTTGTTCTAGATATCCCTTTAAATAAAAAGCGTTTTCCCCCTTAATGATTTTGTGTCTCCTGCTACACAGAAGCTACGAAGAAGTCGGTATATATAGGGAAAAACTCACCACAACCGCTTAATTGGCTGCATGTTATTGTGTTCATGTCAAAGCGATATTTTGTCAAAAAAATCTGTATTTTAGTATTCAGTTCTGTACTGTAGGCAGAGTCGAAACTGATAATATAATATTCTTAAAGCTTTGAATATAAATGAGCTAAAACTGAAACGGTTTGGATTAAATTAAACACATTTAGAGAACGCGACTTGATAATTTCATTACACATGCTTTTTTACCTGCTTATTTCAAAGGCAACCGATGAGGACTCTGGTGAAAATAGCAAAATCATATTCTCTATATCAGGTGGAAATGGAAGGTATGCGTACAACTTATCTCATGAACGTCTCATACATACCGTGGTATAATATACATATGCTTACGGGTGTCAGTAAAATTGTTATTTTATTACAGTAATTAGAATCTTGGTTACCAATGCATTTCTGAAGATTTATGAGGTGCTCAGATGCTACCATTGAGTACAACAATATTTAAAAACATGTCATAATTGATTTATAATGGTGACAAATTACAGAAATACGAAGGTTTGATGCAAGTTAAGGTTTTTCAAGTTGCTATAAAACAAACAATCAGTCCGGCTTATACGATGAAAAAAATGCTTTTGTACGTAATTCAAACTGTACAGACTCATTAAATGTACATTTAATTATTTAACAGTAGTTATGTTTCATCTACAGGTTTAATGTGTCTGCCGAGACTGGCAATATTGTTACTAACTGTGGAAACTGTTCAGTAGATCTTGATCGAGAAAAGGTTGATATATTCTATATGACGTACACAGCAACTGACAAAGGTGGTAGGAGCAACTCTACATCTTTGATAATACATATTACTGATGAAAACGATAACGCACCAGTGTTCAATAGACGTGATTACTTCGCGTATATTGATGAGAATGACGAGAAATACAATACCACACCTATAATTAGACTTGAGGTACGCCACAGTATACATTTTTGTCATTTTCATTCTTTATTAATTTTACGCAATAAGAATGAACATAAATCATTTAACAAGGAAAGCTAATGAGCATACCGTAAAAGATATTATTCATAATGTAAATAATTTAGGTTGACATCAAAAACATATATTTGTCAAATATATATACGAACAACATATAAGAATACTTTAAACTTTTTATATGAGAAGATTAAAAAATTATTGCAGTTTTCTTTTTTCCCCTTTTTATTGTTCACGCGTTTAAAATTTATTTTTTATGTAATATGTCTCTTATAGGCCCATTTGGCCGGGGGTATACTAGTATTAAGTTCATGTTTTGTATGTCATTTCTTTGTATGTTAACATATAACACATTAAAAAAATTTATTTACTTACTTATATAATTCACCTAGTGTTGATACGTACAGTTTATTTAAACATACTTTAGATTTAGAACAATACTTAAGTGTAATTAAAGAACCAAAGTATAGAATAGCCTTATCTAGATTCAGAACATCGTCTCATAATTTAGCTATAGAATATTGAAGATATCGTAGTATTCCAAGAAACGAACGTTTTTGTGAAAATTGCCAATTGAATCAAATAGAGAATGAATATCATTTTTTACTTATTTGCCCGAAGTTCTCCGATTTGAGAAAAAAGTATCTTAAACGATATTACTACACATGGCCGACTAAGCAAAAGTTTATCAATTTAATGTCTGAATCATCGTTAACTGTAATTAATGGTTTAAGCAAATTTATATATCATGCTAACACTTTAAGAAATTAATCCTATCAAATGTGATCTGTATTTTATTCATATGATTGTAAGGCTCTTCTGAAAAAATCCATGTACTTGTGTTGTTTGTGTTTATATATTTTGTACTTGCTATAAACATGTATTTGTTAAATGCAATAAAGTTTTGAAGTTGAAGTTGAACTTATAAGTAAATATACAATGGTTCTTTTCTTCTTTGCAGGCAACAGATCGCGACGAACCTGAAACCAATAATAGTAAGGTTATTTACGATATTGTTCATCTATCTGAGATTGACATGAATTCTAATATAAGCATACCAAACAAGTCCATCGGAGAAATATTTCTCAGCACTCCCGTCGATTATGAACGTTTGAATAATAAGTCTGGAATAATACAGGTCACTGTTCAGGCTAGAGATTTAGGTGATCCACAAAAGGCAACAAATGCGAGTGTTTTAATATATGTACAGGTGAGTTTTTTGGGTTATATTCATTTTAGATACTTATTGTAAACACTCCTATGAGGAATCTTTATTATTTAATTGATTAACAAATATCTAACACATGAAATGGAAATTACCTGAACATAGTAAATAACAGTAAAACACCTTCTGTTAATATGTATTGCAAAATAACAAATGACATAATACCCTTGACAAAACAAAAAACGTACGTTTTAAGAGCGTTATGAGACGTTATTTCTATGATAATTATAAACATGTTAAGTAACGTTTGTGAGCTAATAACTAGATTATAGCCTTGTTGTACATAGAAATTAAAACGTAAGTGATACATTATTGAATGGTAACTGAAGTTGGCATATTATACTGTTATGCAAACATAGAGAAGTAATATACAAATAAAAAAAATCAACGTTTGAGAGTGACGTATACCTTACCACATCTGTCAACACAGGACATTCAGACGGCACCCAACAAGGCACTGAGTTTCTGTTATAAGTGTATATATGCAGTGCACTTTGTTACTGAATAAGCAACATTCATCGTTTCCATTGTTTGAATTATTGCAGGACAAAAACGACAATGCACCGAAATTTATTGATTCACTTGTCAATATGACCATCACGGAAAACTCAACATCAGAAGTTGGACACCGTACGTTTGTGTTATATAAAACACAAAAATAGTATTGTTTAGTTAGCTTTAATTAAAAAAAAATAACAACAAAAAGATTTTTTTACATTTAATATATAAATTGGTTTAATGATTTATTTTAAAATTTCTTAAATCCTTTTTTCCCTTCCTTTTTTATTATTATATTTGTAAACATCTGCTCTTAATAAGAATCTCAATGCTTAGATTTTCTGATTACAAGGAAATTGAAGGTCAATTTGGTATGTTTGAGTAGGGGATTAGATTTATAATATTATTGCACTTTCAGTCACAATCGTGGGATCTGTTACTGCGACTGATGCCGATGGAACAGACCCGAACAATAAGACTCAATACTTCATCCAATCTGGTGCAATGGATCACTTTGCAATAAATCTTACTACTGGAGATATTTATGTACAAATAAATGCGAAACTAGACAGAGAAAATATACCAAAGTATAACATTACAGTAATAGCTATTGATCAAGGTTCACCACCCATAACTGGGACAGCTAGAGTCGTTATAGACATAATTGATGTTAATGATGACCTACCATATTTCAATAGACCAAATTATGCCGAGAATGTGTATGAAAATAAGATGGGCGGAACAGCGATTATAACATGTGAAGCCTTTGATAAGGATAACGATCACGAGCTTCAATATTCCATTGCTGATGTTCACGGCAGAGACGAAACGGGTGCACAAGTAAATGAGTCACTTGTTAAGGTAATATCAATGTTTTATAACCACTTGCCTCTCACCGCCTTGTGTTTGAGTCCAACTAGGGACTTTGGTTTTATCTCATGAGAAAGCTATTAAGCTAGATAACAAAACGTCGGTGGTCCTACTCAGGTACCTTCTCGTGTCATGAAATATTGCACGAAGGGGCACCCAGTGAATTTCTCAATCAGTTAAACTTGAAAGCCCCCATGTAACCTTATAGTATACGTGTGACTTAATACAAAACCTGGCATGACTGATAAAATAACCATATGAATTGTTATGATATAGTAATATTTTGAACTATAATACCACATACTGTTAAGATATATTTTTAGATTATACCTTTTTATTCTGTAATTTAAATCCTATATAAGATAAATAGTTATTTTTGATAATATACCTAAATGTTGATCTTTTCAAAATTTTATCTCTTGTTTAAAGGATTTCTTCGGAGTGAATGAAACACACGGTATAATATATGTCAAGTCTGAACTGGATAGAGAGGTAGCTAAAATCATTGTTCTGACCATAATGGTCGAAGACAAAAAAGCCTACAACCCGTCTCCACAAAATGCAAAAGGTATTTCCCCCAATTTTCTGTAGAACCATAAAATCTCCTCTTTTTGTTGATGTGTATTTACGCATACATCAATATTCAGAAGATGTTTTAAATAACCTTTTCGTGTAAATAATTTGTTCGGATAAGTTACAAAATAAGATTCTAATTTTTTTTTAATAATTCCTTTCACTTATTCGGCTTTGTCAGAAAGGAAACATTGTTAGTCCATGTCAGTTGATTAACTGAGCATCTATTTAACAAATTATTTTTTAGCCTGGTTTATAAGTTTAAGTAAAGATTATTTTTATAGCATTCAACAGTAAAATTATATTGCTTCCATAATATTCATGGTTGATTCTCAAAAGACGCGTTACATAGAATGTCTCTGTTATCTAACGCACAAATAAATGGTACAAAAAGAGAATAAAATGTTTCGGAACAAAATATAATGCTTATATGTTAAATGACGTTCTAACCGTTAAGCAGTTATTATGTGCACGCGAATATACTTAATATTTTTCTTTCATACAGGCATTTTAATATTATTGTTATTCTAATTCAAACATTAATTTCTGAAGCTTTTACATAGCTTTTTACATTTTAACTAATATTAAACCAATTAAATTATCAGTTTCATCTATATAGTTGCACATTTTCAATTCAAATTTCTGAGGAGAGGTTCATCAGTTTGCGGATGAGATTTGGCCTGTTAATTAAGTATAATTGAATGTGAAAGATGATTAACGCACCAGAAACCTGCATAAGCAGTATTACATCGTCGTAACTTAATAAGTATCAAAATAAATAGCTGAAATGTACTTCATTTGCTTGGCATTATAAAGGAATCTTAAATTGGCAAACATTGACTTTATAGACACGTATTTCTTTGTTGCTTTTCAGCTTTACTTACCATAACACTGTTAGATATAAACGATAATGCACCAACATTTTTACAAACACCATACACAGTCAATGTCAGTGAAAACGCCCAGAATCCAACGATTCTTCTAACAATAACTGCGATTGACGTGGATGAGGACAATGAGATAAGTTACCAGATAACCGATGGGGTCAACAAATCTTCATTTCACATTAATCCTTCTAGTGGTATGTAAAACATTGTTAAATGTGTCTCAAGAATTCACCTTTTAAATTGATACTGATACGCAGGTTCAGTTGAAAATGAAATGTCAAAACCAGTTCATGTTGTAGAGACAGATTAACAATGCGAGATTATAATGTCATTTCACTTGATGACCTGTTAATAATTATTAATACTTTAGTTTTGATTGAAGAGTATCTTGATAAAATGTTCATTATGCGTCTATGTAGTCTTTGAATACCATTACTTTCATAAATCTATATTGAAAAAAAAATACTAAAATACAAGTTGATCAAATATTGTTACGATATTTCAGGTGTATTTAGTAAAGTTGGACAGCTTGATAGGGAAAAGGTTTCGAATATAACTTTAAACATAAGTGCAACTGATAATGGAATACCTAACATGAGCACATTCACTACAATAGAGGTTACAGTTCTCGACTTCAATGACAACGAACCTGAATTTGTAAACTTCACAGACGTAATAAGCATAAATGAAGATATACAAACAGGGACCCACGTTTTAGATGTTATGGCGCATGATAACGACACTGGTCCAAACGCCAACTTAACATTCTCTTTTGAAAACGATGTTCTTGGAAAATTCTCAATAGATCCAATTAATGTAAATGTTTTTCAGTATCAAATTTCAACAAAATGTATATTTCAATGTTCAAATATTTCATTTTTGAAGCAAAAAATATCCTCTTAAATTTCTAATTTAAAGATATACAGCCAGTTTAGAATAATCGTTTTGCAAAATTCAAATGAGAATTTTGTTAACTGCAGGCAGCAGAGATATAACACTAGACATTTCAAAGATTATAATCCTAGCTATTGTTTCTTCCATTAAGTCCAATTTGGTTCCAATATTTCCACTTCATGCAAAAGTCTTGTTGCCGTGGTAATCGAAAGCAAAAGCCTTTTTCCAAAAATCATTACAAGTCTTATCCTTATATATCTCAGAGCGTAGAAACTTGATGAATGGTATGAAGGGAGCGTCCTTGGCTGAATGTGTAACGTCGTTGATTTCTACCCATTTGTACCTCACCGCTGTAGGTTCGAATCCCGTCAGGGTTCTTTCATGTGAGGAAGCTATCAAGCTAGCTTACTTGACGTCAGTGGTTAAACTCAGGTTTAGGGTTAAGAAATAATGCACAGAGGGGCACCTTACGTTTTCCTTCACCAGTAAAGCTTGTAAATCGCCAAATGACCTCTTCTTTGTTTGGTGCGACATAAAACCAAATCCCCCCAAAAACAGTCATGAGATAAATATTGACCCAGCCCTGTTGTTGTAGTTAATGCTTAATGAGGGTCCATCCGCCCTTTCGCGCACAAAATGCAGCTTTCGCTGTCGAGTACGGACCCGTGACATGTCACCAGTCATGCCCTGAAAGAGTTAATTTTGAAGCACCAAGTGGTGATAATTTACCTCCATGCTATTTCCACGGAGTATTACCAGCCCACGGCTTTTACTAACTTTTATATGGAAAAACATTTTCCATTCAGAACGAATAATGCATAGAGGCTATATATTTGAAAGCTAGCATTGTTATCAATTTACGTAAATATATGTCCTACCCTGTTAGTCACTTAACTCTCTTGAATTAAGCAATTTATATTCTTATTACAAAGATGTTATAATTGAGTCATTACTACACTGACATTAAATTTGGATTAATAAAATGTATCATTAAGTGATTACGCCTGTGACATAGTGTCAAACTTGTGCACACTATTAACTGTATGTTTCATATTAAAGGCACATGTATAGTAATAAATGTAAAAAAAACTTTGATATGAGATGGACCTTTAATTTCAATTTAATTTTTAAGTAATGGCACTTGTCTATTAGTCTTTTTTCTCAAAAGCCATTGGGACCCTCTTGTGTGAGGCTTTGATATATTGTATATCTTTCAGGAACATCATGTAATATTTAACATAGCAAAATATCAGTAAGAGCAAAAATAGGTTTTGTTAAAGTTATTATACGAATAATTTGTTGTATGTTTTCAGGGTAGTATTTTTGTAACAGATTTGTTAGACCGAGAATCTATACAGAGATTTGTGTTAGCAATCAAAGTGCAAGACAATCCCCTGAAAGACGATGAACGAAAATTTAAAACAAAAGATTTAACCATTATTGTTAAAGACATAAACGACAATACTCCAATTTTTACGAAAACATATTATTCAACAAATATAGTGGAAAATACCAAAGTTGGTGAAAGTGTGTTAACGGTGTCGGCCTCTGATGCAGACGAAACGGGCAACAACTCTAAAATAAGTTACAGTTTTAGCAATGACACATCACCTTCAGGTCTTTTTAGAATTGATCTTGATGATGGAGATATATACGTCAACATGTCATTGGTAGGACATGTAGGATCCTATGTCATTGAGATTAATGCAATGGACCACGGAGAACCAATGCTTCAAAATAATTCAATTGTGAACATCACTGTGCTCGACGTCAATCTTAATAAACCAATTATATCAAATTTGCCTGACAATAATACCATTTCCGTTTATGAGGTAAGTAAATCCACCAAACAAATTTATTATGAAAAAAAATCAAGAAAGCTTAGCTGATTTGGTGTTTTGTTATAACAATTATTTTTTATAGTTATATAATATTGAATAATCTAAGGTCTTGTGGAGAACCTCTTTCTTGTAAGTAGAACTTTTCATAAACTCAAAAATAAACCCAGATAAATAGTCATAAAATTTAAATATTCAAATTCTTTTGAATTTATAGCAGAACCAGCTGGTTGTGTGATGTCATTGTGCCATATTTATCTGTTTGCTATCATCAGTTTTAAATTAATTTACTCATATTTTAATTTTCAGTGTGTAAGAAAGGGATCTGAGCTTTATGATTTTAACTACACGGACGCTGACAGTGGTATCAATGCGGAAGCTTTTTTCAACATCAGCAAAGTAGATGATATCATTGCTGATACGTTTGAAATAAGTCCCGATGGCATTTTGAAATTAAAGCGGAAACTTGATGCTTTGCAGAAAGATTCATACAGAGTAATTAGATTATCTACATACTAAAATAAATTTATTTTCACATGATTTGACATAAACGCAAGATTTTGATGAGTTTAATGTTTTTTTACTAAGTTTTTACATTAATCCTTGTTAATCATGCCACATGTAGATATGTTTCTCAATCTAAGTATTTAGAATTACCTCGTCTCGTACGAACCTGTATTAAACACACGCAAGTTATGTCTAGCCATATAAATGTCTTGCCTGCAGATAGTAATTCCCATTCAATTTTTTCACAAATGTGTTACAAGTGTGACAAATGATAATTATTTAAATGAAGCTGAATTTTATATTGCTTTAAAGGTTTTTAACTTATCAGAATTTTTGAAAGACATTTATAGATTTATGATATAGAGCAATAGTTTTATGAAACTATCAAAAAATCATAGATATATGTAAATTCATCTCAATTTTACAAGCACGGTGCCATGCCACATAGCATTTTATCTGCAAGGGGCAAAACACCAATAAAATACACTGTCCAGATTTTATATTCCTACATGCATGTTTATGCATTTTATTATCTGTAAACGAATAATGTGCAAAACCTTCTCATTTTAGTGTGAAACATATACATGTACATAAAAAGTATTTTACGCAGCCTAACTTTACGAAAAGTAAACAAAAAATGTTTTCCTGGAAACATTTTGTATGGGTTCCTCACTAAAATGAGCGGGCTCTCCAATATCACATGAAAACTAAAAACAAATATCTAAAATGCTATGGCAGAAAATAAAACCCGTACCGTCTGTATATTAGCTTTCTGTCCCAAGCTGTTCAAAAAAGGAACGATGTTTTGGCACCGTTACAACATTAATTACCGGCATACAATTAAAATTTTTTAGTTCGTTATAAGAATCTTTTTTTCTCTCTTTTTTTTTGGGGGGGGGGGGGGTGTTCATATAAGATTAATTCCAGACCAGGCTGTAATTGTTTGTATTTTAGAATATAGGTTATTGCAAAACCTGAAACACACTTAAGTTTTTTTTATTGTTTTCACATAGCCATATGAATAAAGTATACCAATAAAATAAATTAACCGTGATCGCTCGAATAAGTTTGAGAGGTGATTTGATTTAGAATTTTGTGTCGAACAGTTTCAGGTACAAGTCACCGACAGGGGAATTCCACCATTGTCCTCGGAGAAAATATTCATCACAGTTAAAGTTATTGACGTTGATGATCATCTACCATCATTTAAGAATATTACTACAACTTTAAGAGTTTCGGAAAATCGCCCTGTTGGTGACTTTGTAGGTGCTGTAACTGCAGATGATCCGGATGAAGACTCAGTGACGTGTTACGAAATTAATGGTAAGCACTTTTATTTAGTATACAAACATATGTTATATTTTTGAGCAAATAATGATTAAACAATTTTTTTCTTCTTTTTGTTCATAAATAGGCGTTATTCAAAGTGTTTTATGATTTTACAAACTTTTCATGGTTGTACAGTTATTCTCACTACCTTCATTTCTACATTGATGAATTTCGGTAGGAAAACTAATTAAACTAATTTTAATGACGCCATGTTTATTTATTATTTGACTGATTTATGGTTGTCACATTTCAGAACCAGAAATGGCTCAACTATTTGCAATTGGTAAAAAGAATGGGAGTATCGTCACAAGAGTGGAACTGGATTATGAAAACAAAACTTCCTACACTTTCTCTGTAAAAGCAACTGACTGCACTAGCATCGTTGACATAAGTGAGTGTGGGGACATCACACATTCGAATCAGAAAATGTTATAAACACTACCAGAATTACTGTTAATGTAATTGATGCAAATGACAACCCACCGGTTTTTAAATTAGATGAAATAACATTTGGAATGAGAAGAGTCACAGAAGTGAATACGACGCTGGATTTATCGCTTAAGGTCAATTTTATTTAACCAAAAATACCTTTAAAGATTATTTTTTGAGCGTTTAAGTGATTTGAATGTTCAGTTTACAATGCCTATTAGCGTTGATACTTTATTGTAATTGCAGTATAATCATACAGTGACGGATAATCATTTTTTATATTTTCATTTTTTTGTAGTGTAGAAGTACACTGAATTCAATTTATAAAGGTTTTGTAAATTTCCCGATGAGAGGTCATTTTCGATGTCTATGAATATTTTTTGTTGGGTTGTACGTCGAACCAACAAAGTAGTGCGCATATGGCGACTTTCCAGCTTTACTCATAGATTTAGACCTCGGGTGCCCCCCCCCCCCCCTCCGTTCATTATTCCAAGCACGAGCGGGCACCGGAGTAGAATCATCGACATTTCGTTAACTTACTTGATAGCTTGTTCACATGAACGTATCCAAGTCCCTGACAGGATTCGAACCTTCAGGGGTAAGGTGCACCTAGAAAAATACATGTGACTTTGCTTGTATATTTTCATTATAAATGGGCGACAATTTTATACAATAACGTAAAAGCTGTTAAAGGTATATTTATGTGTACTGGCATGATATGTGTACTAGATAATGATATGAAAACAATCCATTGTCGAATGGAAACAGGTTTATGCATCTTATATATAGCTGTTTCTTTTCGGATAAGAATTTTCGCGCCATAAATTTATATCTCAAACTACTATATTGTATTCACTTTATACAATTTTTAGCAGTCTATATAATTTGGTTATTTTAGACAAGTGACTATATAGAAGATGAGGACACTGATGTGAATGGTAAATTTGTTTGGGTCTTCCAAAACGCTGGGGACATACAAACCAGCTCATCATTAAGTGGGATTGTGCCCCCGCTTAGTGGAGTAATGGATTGCCCTGGTGACAAAAAGAAGGTTACTTTATATCCTATATTGACATTTGCCTTGAAGATTAAGCTCATTGGTGACTTCTCGTACTTGTAATGAAACTGTTCAAATTCACTCGCATTATTTTGTATGCTTCAATTATCGAAAATTTGTTAACGCTCTTTCAAAAGTAAACTTGGTAATGGTATAAGACACATATAATTTTTTGCATTTTGAGAATATTCTACTCACATGACCTGTGATCCTTATTAATTACATACTCCTATTGATAGAATATAGTTCGGTCTTTTTTCATATGTATTTATCTGTATCATCGATAAATTTATGTTTTTTAAAGATTATACTTTATATTTATTCCAGCATATTATCTGTGTGTCTGGTAACGGTTCGTTAATAAACAACAAATATTATAAGGAGGATATTTCTGGATACCTTATTGTTCCTGTGAACGTCACAGACGCGGCCGGAAGTGACACTGTGAATGTGAAAGTAAGAACGTTTTAAAGTGTTTTCTGTTTTTTTGTTAATGTATTTAAATATAAATACATTTAATATGGGTGTCTATAATACAAGGTGAGAAATGTTATAGAAATCATTGATATATTTTGTTGTTTAATGAGTCAAGTGAACTACGTGAAAAATCAAAGTAGATCTATATGCAGTAAATGTTAAAGAATGAAGAAACCAACAGTCAAGAGAAATGGTTATTACATCGCAATATCCATAAGAAGTTTAGTTCTACTTTTTAATTCAGTCAGCATATTTTAGTAGTTTCATTGACAACATTAGCATTATACGGAGACGTTTTACCACAGCTTTTCTATCAGCAACAGTGTGAACATGTTGAAAAAGGAAATCCTCTGAGAACAGCGGTGAAAGCAATATATAAAGATTTCATAAGAAAAACTTCCTAGCCAACTAAGCACTTTAGCTTTTTAATCTTCAACAAATTAAGAATTAAGATCAATGAACTCCTATTATATTTTATAGAACTGTTTCAATCAATTATATTATTTTGTCTACTTCAGATATTTTTAATTGGGAATTCTCAGATTCTTATAATGACAGTCCTGGGAGAAAAGGAAAAAATTGCCGAGACCAAAAACCATATTTTGAAGTACAATTGTTTTATTACATTAAAAGTATTCTTTTAACATTAAAACCTCAAACTCGGCATTTACTGTGTAATATTGTTTTTCATCAATGATTTCTGAAATTGCTATTAAACACAGTAAACCGTATTCAACATGTACAAAAATTAGTCAAAACATTTTCAATTAAAGATACATAATCATAAATATTATAGTGGAGCTTTAGTTCTTAAGGAAATGAATTAATGCTTTATATAGAATATGATTTATATCTGGCGATAAGTAAGTGAAATAAAAATTATGTATGATTTTTTTCTCAATCCCAACTAAAGATAAATTATTGCACCATTAGAGCTTATACAAGTTAACATTCAACTTTCGAGATACAAATGGAAGACATGTCAATTTTATAACTTATAATAAATCAACAAAAGTGCTTTATGTATTTATTTTATTTGTCTTTTTTTTTATTTTCAAAGGATATATAGTGATGTTACAGGATATAAATTTGTTTACGACTGGCTCGAGGACCATAAAACTCCTGACGGGAGAGTGGAAACATTCAAGTTTGTTTTATGTTCATACCTTTTTAGAATACAATAATTTTAAATGCACACAGATACAACAAGATTAAGCTTTTTATTTAAAAAAATATTTTATGCGGAATACTGCATTTATAAAATGTTTTAATATAGAAAAAATACTTTTCTCGTTTCAAATAATACTACTAACACTAGTATTCAAGATAACAATGACAAAACGGTTCAAGATACTGTATTAATTCACTTTTAAATTATATGTACTTTCATACATCAAGAAACTACGGTAGAAATTAGAAAACGGTATATTAGAATAGCATGACATTTTTTGTGTTTCTTTTTCATTGGTTTTACTTTTTATGCTATTTAAGACGGTTATAAAGCAGTGTTAAAATTCAATATACATTTAGATTATTCTATAGACTACTGAAAAATGTGAATTTGCTATTTCTTAAAATGTTTCTGTAAATTATACGCTCTTTGACTTTTCCAGGACAGACATTTATTTCCATGTCGTTGATAAACAGACTGATCGTGTACTTTCTGCAGACGAGGCCATAAAGTAAGTGCACTGTTTCATTTTGTCTTATAATGATAATTGAATTACATATTATTGATAGTGTAAGATTTTCAATATAAAATACTTTTATTGAGAAGCTCTAAAAAAGAAGTCTTCCCACAATAAAGAATACACGCGAGTGCAGGTTGGCCTGGGTCGGCTTTCAATTTTTTATTTAACTTAAAAGATCAACGAGGAAAGGCAACCAAAGTTCACTAAACGCTGAGTTGCACCCAATATACCAAGCAATACAGATGCACTGGCATATAATCCAGCAAGGTTTTAAATAGGTGTCTGTTACAACATATCAACTATAAATCACACTTCTTATTTTCGTGACAAACTATGTGAAACAACTGTTGTTTTTATTACATTGTATTATCTTCCACTCGATTTATTAAAAAAGCAAAATGAATCAAACGAAAAAAACAAATAATATAATGTTTTGTATTGAGATCAATATTGAAAGGTAAACCATGCAGTGATCATAGAAAGTGAAATAATAAAGACGAAACTCCATCATTGAAAGACATAAATATAAATATTATTTTTTGTTTTCCAATCTATATACGTGTATTTTGTGATGTAAAAATAATATACACTTGTAAATTTGCTTAATTATATGTTTAAAATTACTTTAATCACTTTCGGAAAAAAATGTTTCTCTTGACTCTTAATGCATAAAAATTGATTTTGTATCTCTAATATCATAGGATTATTGACGGTGATTATGAGAAACTATTACAAGCAATGCAGCAATTCAGTGTCTTACAAGTTGTGGTAAGTGCTTTTTGTTGGTTACGAATATGGATTACTTTTAACTGCCTTAAATTTCCCTGCTGTAGACGGTTGTTTACTGAACTATTTTACTAACATACACCAGGTGGTTATCTACCTGGGGTCCAATCGGACTGGTCGATAGTAAAGACTGCAGTCCCCCAATACTCTATCTTTGGTCCACTGTTATTCCTAGTTTTCATCAATGACATCGTAGAAGATAATGGGCTCCAAAATAAACCTATTTGCTGACGATACCAGTTGACATAGTAATGTTGACTATCCTGCTTCTGCTGCTGAAACACAATAATCTAACATAGACAAGATATAAGTTTTGGCCAAAAAAATGGCCGGCTATCTTCAATTCATTTAAGTTTTAATATATGGTTATTTTTCGTTAAAGAAATAAACATTTGCAACCCCACTTCTTATGCATAACCAACATAAAACGACCGTCAACAGTCACAAAATTATTGGCCTCAACCTTTAAGAAGATTGCTCGTGGCATTGTCACATTAACTATATTACCGACCGGGCTTAGAAGAGATTACACAAAGTTTAAACTTAACCGTAGATCTCTTGAAGTCATCTTTTTATCTTTCATGCGACCGTTAACTGCACACGTCATGAGAAACTTGTTTAGGTAACCCCTCTTTCGTGTGCAGTGATACACAATGCTACGAATAGTCAGTCTATTTGAACACGAACAACTGCCAACTACCCTAAATACTAAATAGTAATTGAAACTCCCGTCCTAATGAAGTATAAAATTCATAATCACTGCCCTCTTTCAAATTCCATTTGAGACGAAACATCTCTAAATGTCAAATTTATTTCTATGAAGGCGATAGAAAATGACAGATCTATCATGCTCGAGTTCTCTAAATCAACATCCATTTAAGAAACATAGTTCTCCATTTCCTCTTAGTCACTGTGGCATAGTGAAATTTCATAAACTTTTACTTTAAATGTCAACGCTATATTGATACATATGTAGGACCTTTAGTTCAAAAAGCTTGTCCGCTCAATTGCTTAAGAAAGCTTCGTTCAGTAGTCTTCATATTTGGTATTCAAGTTGGTTATGACTAGTTGATGACCCCTATTGATTTAAGGTGACTGTGTCAAAGGTCAATGTAACAGGGGCTTTTACTTCAATAAGCGTGCCTGCATAACTGCTTAAGAACGCCTGTCCACTGTGAATTGATTTTGACGTCAGAGGGCAAGCTCACATCTTAAGCATAAAATTACGTTCTCATATATTCATCATAAAACATCCCCAGGCAAAACTGCAGCCTATTCAACCCGTCGATCTATCCGAATAATCCACAATATAGTTATTCTTCTTCTCTATATTTATGGAAGTTTTCTCCTTATTATATTTCTCTCTTTCTTAATATATTTATTGCCCTTTTTCATTCTTAATAACAAATTGATGCGGTCTTGTATTAATAATTCTTCCCTTCTGTTTTATACTTTTGCTCTAAATTATCACTTGTAACTAACCATTTTATGCATTGTTAATCTATAAGGAGAATACAATTATAAGCTCAGCTTTGGACCAAACCCTTTTTTTACAATTCATGTATGTATTGTGTACATTATTTATTGGTATTTTTATTTATATATACTTCGAAGTTATTTGTTTAGTTTATGTTTTTACTATTTCAAGGTATTATGCAAGTAAGGGCGCTCTTCATTTCGTTTCGTAAGAGTTACCCTTATCTTGATTCCATAGCCTTTGTTTTATGTATTTCCTTATTATATTCTATAATAATTATAGCATATTGTCACAAAGAAACTTATTACTGTATTACTTATAAAGAAATCATTTAAAGTATCAATATTTGGTAAATAAAATATTTAGTTCTTGAAATTTTCTTTAATAGGACCTACACTTTCTATTATATTACAGAGACCCCGCTCCTTTACTCCACTTTTTATCTCCATTCTGATTTCATTTTTTTGTCTATTTATCTCCCTTTCACCCATGTCGAGAAATTATTCAAATTTGATTTAGGTACTGCATTACACACTTGACATGTTCAGCTCCTCTTTATGATCCTTTACAAGTTACGTCATACGTAGTATGTATTTAATATCTTCTTGTAAATATGTGGAAGGAATTAAATGTAGGTGCAATGAACTGTTGCTACAAAACCTATGTCATGTTGTTACTAAAATAAATTATAAATTTATATGTTTTTACAGGAGAGAGTTTCATATAAGCTTTAAGCTTTCTACTCAATCCTGAATGCAATTTATATATTGTTACCTTGTCTGTAAATATTGATGAAGAAATAAATATTGTTTAAACCAAACCAATTCATTCATACTGTTTCTTTCTGTAAGTGATTGTCAGCATGGTCTTTGGAAATAAAGCTATCTTTTTATTAATTTTACAGTCGAGCCTTCAGACAAATCCAGGGGAAGATGACTCTATTAAGACTGTTTATATTTTGGCAGCGATTATTGCCGTTCTTGCATTGACAGTTGCCATTATTATCTATGTCTCTCTTACAACAAGGAATACATACAAGAGAAAGTTAAAGGCAGCTACATTAAAACCACAAGGTATGTTAAATGTATATGAGCCGCGTCATGACAAAACCAACATAATGGGTTTGCGACCAGCATGGGTCCAGACCAGCCGGCGCATCCGCACAGTCTGATCAGGATCCATGCTGTTCGCTTACAAACCCTACAGCAAGTAGAGAAACTGATAGCGAACAGCATGGATCATGATCAGACTGCGCGGATGCGCAAGCTGGTCTGGATCCATGCTGGTCGCAAACCCATTATGTTGGAGTTATGACGCGGCTCATATTTTGTTTGATAAATATGTACTGACGAAGACTGACAGGGGAGGCAACAAAGTTCCAAATTACCTGAGTATAAAAGAGCCATGCTTAATCAGTATCATACTTGATATTCTTTTAATTTGATATTTATAATACTTGCCTACACTTGTGACATTTACCTTTTCAGATATTCCTGACGTGTCTGAAAAGAGCAAAACAGTCATTCCCGGTAGTAATATGTACTCCAGACAGTAAGTTATAGTAAAGAATTTGTAACTTTATCCAAAAGTATTTCAAACAGAGGAAACACCCGATTAAATAATAAGAAAATAATGGACTGAACATTGGGGTGATAGTAATCTACATTGTCTATTCAAAAATTATTTGAATTGATGGTGACAGTGATTTTTACAACCTCTTTAAACAATGAAGAGGTATTCCTTTATCAATTATTTTTGATATAAGTTATTGGGGGAATGTTTTAAAATCACTTTTTATAGTACATGCAAGATTATTTTATCGCATTAATTATTTATCAATATATTTCAAAATCTTGGGTAATGTTTTGAAATTATTTATATTTATAGTGCATGTTAGTGATTTTTATCGCACTAATATTTTCTCAAAACATAAAAGGAATGATTTGATAAGTAAAACAAAATGTTTTTTAAACATAAGTTCTGGTAAGAGGATGCATACAGTAAGCATATCATCGAGTAATTATGTGAATATTGCTTGGTTTGGTGAAAAGTAAGGAAAAATATATGAACATCCCGCTACCAAGCTCTGACGTTTTCAGTTTTCTTAGTAAAGTGTTATAGAATCAATGATCTGGAAGGTTAAGAAAGATATAATTACATATACTTAGATGAAGTATGGGATAATTTACCTATTTTTATACATAAAAGTATAGTGCAAGGAGCATAGGTAACAGAAAATATGATGTATTTTATACTTGATATCAAGTACTTCTAATAAGTAAGTAAGTGATCATTTATTCAAATGACATAACAGTTTTACTTTGACTTTCTTTCAGAGCAAATCCTTTACTTGACGCTGAGATACCTGACAAAATAGAGTATGATAATATGAGCATGGGAAGGTAAGTTATTAACAAGTAAATCATTTGCATGTCTGTCATGTGAAGCTTTAACTTGCTTCGCTAAACTAGAAATAAACTGTCATTATAATGCTCCTGTTTTAATCATGGTCATAATGGGCATTTTAGAGAGTATTTATATGAAATGAATGTTATAAACACCATTGGAAATAAGATAAATGTATTATGTTCTATTTTGTCTATAAATGAAATGATAATCTTATAAATAATAGTAATTATTATCTCATGAACCACGGTGCAGGAATATGATAAAGCTATGTAATGAAAACAATTCTACACTAGTGTAATAACTATGCAAATATGGCAGATGATAACTTAACAATTTTCGAATTCATACGCATTGTCAATAACTTAGGTGAAAAAAAGAATTTGTATATATTTGATTGACCTTTTGTTTGTTGAAAAATAAAAACAAACGCATTTCATAAAGGTTTGGCACAAAATGTTTAAATATTTTACTGAATGCTTTACGAGGTATGTATTCAAAATATATAATCAAAAGTATTTTATCTTTTAAAGTCAAAACTCCCTGGACACAAATAGCGTTGGAACACCCAGGAAGGAAGGTGATTATGCCCAGTTAGAAGAGAAAGAAGTAAGAATGGATATGTATATGGAAGATGAAGATTATTCTAAAATACCCGAGAATCCTCTAGAAGCTGCCCTGAAGCAATACGATATGCAAAATATGCAGAACAAACAAGAAAATGACAGTACTGACGGTATTGTATCTCCACACGACATGGGGTCGTTACAGTTTGAGAACAGAGCCTACCTTGAAGAGCTCGAAAGCACAGAAATATAAACTGTTGATAAATGGATATATATTTATTTGTCCTTTTTATATATTTTATTTAATATTTTTTTTGTTCATTGTATTGCATAAAAATTTTTGTGATGTTATCTTTAAAAAATTTATCCGGAACAGTTTAAAGCTAACATTAGAGTCTAAAATGTGCATTTAAGTATTGGCGTTTTATTGAACAATGTAAACAGAAACAACTCAAAAATATATTTTTAGCGTCTGATTTAGATAAACATGTGCTAACTAACGAATTGTTTTATCTTATAATGACTTGTTTATGGGAGACATTAACATTAATCCGGAAAATATTATGCCATTATATTTGTTTTGTTTTAGCAATGTGCTTGTTTATATATTTAAGTCGGTTTGTTTTAAAAGGCATCTCCGATAAATCACTACTCATTTGGGTGAAAAAGACTCAGTTAAGGTATGACCATCCTAATGCATTACCTACGCTTTGAAAAGTATTCAAATTGGCTAAAACGCTGCTGTTAACTGCATTGTTCGAACCACAGAATGGGCCAACTATTTTTTTCTTTTTTTTCCCTTAAAATCTTATTACAAATATGGCACTTGATATTTTCAAAGTCTAATAGAATCAAAACTACACGGTAAAAGTATTTAATAGTTTAGAATATGAATATACTATTGAGAATGAAAACATCCCCTATCATTGGTAAATTTTAGGGATTTTTAATTATGCTCTCTAAGTAGAAAAATAGTCAAACACTTGTTAAAATGGATAGGGTAGGGAATATTTTTTATAAATATTTTATAAAATTTTGTTTTGCTTGTGTGGATTGTTAGCTGAATGTTATTATTTGTTTCGTAACAAAAATGAATTGAAAAATTGTCATAAGGATGATATTGTAGATTATTTAATGGGTCATCATTCCTGAAAAATGGCTCTACTAACTTCAAAGCTTAAATTCAGAAAAGTGACCATAACTCGTTTACCGTACAGTAAAGTTTGTTTAAATTTTGCATGCAAGTGTCCTTCAAGGCATATATCTGACGTATGTTGTCCCTTTTTCAGTTCCTTATAGTGCCCGTTAGGGTTGTCATATCTTAATAAATACAATTAAGAAGTTATTATGCAATTTATGTGTAGAACTTTTATACTCATTGCTTTGTTATTTACGATCATTTCACAGTTTTTCTGCAAATATATTTCTTTCTGTAACTAGTCAAGATTTGATTACGTTATATTCGACACTTGTTTTACAAAAACTGTAGATTATCGTTGTTGAACTGTTGGTGCTTCATAAATGTATATTCAGACATTCAGAACAACGTACATAAACAGAATGTCGATTCTTGTCGCATGTCTGGTTACAATGTACTTTGTACGAGGTTCACTGTGGTCAAAATGTCTTAAGCCGCACAATTTTGAAATTCTTACGCTGATCTTTTGGAGCACTTAAAACAGAAAAATATGCAAAAAAAATAGATATACATTCGGAAATTAATTGAAAATCGTTGTTTTTTTCTGTGCGTGCAATTTTCAGGCCATTTGAGTTTAAAAACATAGCAACGCTTTTCAATTTGGCTCACGTTTTACGATTTCAATAAATATTCTGGGAAAGGGGAGTGAGCGGATGATCTGGCATTTTGCACACAAGTTATTGGATCTACATGCAAATCAACATTGAACTCGAAAAATTGTTCCCAATGGAGTCCCTTTAAAACATAAGATTGTAATTCTTACAAAGATCAACTGGGGCACTTAAAACCTGAAAATATACAAAAGATAATAAAGATATATACATGTATTAAATTCAAAATTGAAGTGCAATTTTTACCTCGGTTTTAGCTTAAAACGTTTAAACGCTATTCATGTTTGGGTCATTTATGTGAAATATATTGATTTTTCTAGAAAAAAGAAGAAAGCACTGGCACTCAAGTTGTTGGTCCAAACTTACACCAAAAAGTACACAAATATTCCCACTCCCGTGATGTAAGTACCACACCTCAGTTGTTTTCCAATAATTTATCAACTGGGAGTTAGTCTATTACGTGCATTTTTGCACGTTTGTTTTATTAACTTTTGCCCTGCTTGAACCTTAATTGATTATACTTTGCCACCAGTATACAGCCAGGTCAGCTTACACTATGACGAGGCTCTATCATCTTGATATGCATTTAAGTTAGATAAGTCTATTTCAGCTGGTTAATGGTTGTCATTGTCTGTCGGAAACATACTCTGTAAATAATTATGATTCTGATATTATAATATCATATCAAAATATTGTGTTTATCATATTGGCGAAAATGTTTAACTACGGTATAACTACTTGATGACTTGATGAATTGTACAAAAGTAATGTTGATCAATAAAGATTATGTTTGTTTATTGTTGTTTTTATGCCAAGTTTAAAACAGGTTTTCAGTCATATCCCGGTTGTAGGCTTTCCTGGATAAATAGGGATAAAGTATTACCAAGTTTTAGCAAGTGACAAACTACTCTTTCCCATGCTTTGTAAGTCAGCGATGAGAGACAAATGACCATAAGACTTCATGTTCCATTTGTCTGTTTGCTTGGTGTTAACGTCTTTGCTAACACATTACTGCTAATACCGCGCCAAACACTAAAAAAGAAGTAGACCTTAAATGAGTTGGAACAAGTGTGTTTGTAAAATCTTAGAATAAAAGGTAATCGATCAGGGTATTAGATGAAGGCAAAATGTTCTCTAAGTGAATTGACTCGATGAAATATATCACGACCATGTGCAAGATCATGACATTCAAGAACGAAATGTTTGGCAATAAAAAATTATTGCAAGCTATACAAAATGGAGCATTGTCTCCTGTTAAATGGTAAGAATGTGTCATTCTAGCATGTACAGTTATTCGTCTAAGAAGCAGAACTTGATCACGACGATTAAGGAGAGATAAAAATAATAATTTATCAAGACAAAGATTTATATCATAAAATTTGTTAAATACAGTTATGCCCAATTCGATTTTCATTCAGACAAGTGAAGAAAGTTTACTTATTGAGGGCATAAAACCAGGTAACAATAAATCTACTGGTTGAGAATTTAAGGATTCTTTAGCCAAAACATCTACTTTTTCCTTTCCTGTATTCCTACGTAGCTTTGGGACCAACATAATTAGATTGACTTTTAAAAGGTTTAAGAGGTTTTTAAAACATCATGAAATCGCAAAAGGAGTTTCTTAGTCAATACATTTTTGGACTTAAGATGTTTAATCGAAAATAACACGGAGAGTGAATTTGAAAACAAATACAAATTTATTACCATTATGATTTGAAATGTGTGATAATGCTAGATCAATGGCTTTCAATTCTGCAGTAAATATAGATGCATTATTAGGTATTCACAATACAGACGGCTGCACATTCAATGCAACCATCGTTAAAGTTGTCCGTATTAATTTCAATAAAATGTTCATGTACTTTTAATTTTGAAAAAACATTGAGATCAGTTGTCACGGAGAAATGACGTCTCAACCAAGGCTTGACAAGCATTCCCTGGATTTCTCCCTATCCAGTCAAGCTTGTATAATCTCTTCCTTTGTGTTTCAAATGTTTAACTGTTAAATCCAATACGACAACGAAATATTTTTATTTTTGTTATGTAGCAAGAATTATAAAGACATATGTATACGAAATAATGTTTTCAGATAAAAGAAATAAAAAAACACCTTGTACAAGACATCTTGTAAAAATCTTTAACCTACGAAAATGTTAAAGTGGCATAATGCTCATTTTTCCATTGTCAGATTAAGCTACCTTGACTATATAATTCAAGATATTGACTGTTATAATGATTGACCAAAAGTTGATACTGGAATTTGATTAGAATGAAATATAAATTTTGCTTAATAAAATTACTGCCGATGGATATTAACAAAACATTCCTTGGGGCATTATGCGAAGTAAATTATAAAATTTAAAGGAATTATGGCAAAAGTTATTTTGACTTTTACCTGTTTACTCATTTTATACCTTTCGATGGGCATAATATAACTTTAACAATATTTAGTGGGATCACTCAACTGTCGAGATCAGCTTTATGTTTTTGATCAAATTTTATGACACGATTGATATAATGGGAGGGGGTTGGGTGTAATTACTTTCTATAATATCATACCATAAAATATTTCTAATTTGATAAAAGGAAATTACACATAATTTACAAGTATGGTATTTTTTCTTTTTTTAATTACACGCTCTTTTGAACCTTTGAAAATGAAATACGCTAAAAAATTACGGTAATATCAAATTAGAAATACCATTTAACAAAGTACTTTTACCAGTAGAAAACCTTTGTTTCTTTTCTTAACATAAAGTCAAAAAATAAAATGATTGTGTTAATCGAATGTCATGTTGTGTACATCAGCTTAAACTACCCAAAAGTATATCGAAATGGAAGTTTATAAACTGTTAGCTTATTTATCCATTGTGAGCATCCCCATCAACAAATGACATGATCAACAAAGTTTAAACAAACATGTATTTTGACGAGAAGCAAAAAGTCTCTGATATCAAAGATAAAAAAAATAAAATGCAAACTTTGAGCTAGCTTTGAATTTTGAACTAGCTAGCTCGAAGATCAAAATTCAAAATTTTAGAAGCTGTATTTCGATTTTGATCATTTAAGGAAGATTGTCTTAAGGCTCATAATTCTGAAGTTGAATTTGGTCCTGAATTAGAATTCCTGCAAGCTCTTAGATCGAAATTGATTATTTCTAAGCTTACATTTGCATTTTCAAAACTACATGGTTAAACCTTAGCTTTGGTTTATACAGAATTTATTTTAGTTTGATTGTTTAGGACTATAAGTTTTGACACACTTTCGAATCCGTTCCTGGAACCAAACCAGTACTGAGCAATGAGTGTAAAGTTTCTTGCTGAAGGAAACAACGACTTGCCCCTGACGGAGTTTGAAACACGCGGCTAGCGATCAGTAGATTACTAGTCCGACGCGTTAACCTCTCGGCCATGCCCCACGTCAAACTTTAGCTTTATGATGGTACTTGATATTAAGTTATTTATACTATATTTTCGAGTCCGAGATAAAAAATAAAGGCGTATTCATGCTTGCATCGAACTATTATAGAACCAGATCGTACTAAGAGTTTGTTCAAAACTCTACAAAGATCTCGACTGATAACTATAAAGGTGGCCTAGATACCCTTTTCAAATCACGTACGAAAACTGAACAATGAGACACTCGTAGTACTAAATTATCAACCAAACAAGTGTTTTTGACGACCAATTTTCAGATTTGGCACTCACTTATCTAATGACAAGCTAATACAAGTTCAATAGGCTTGTCAAGATTTGGTAGAGTAAATATAAATTGATAAAATATTTTAGGATCATAATATTTTAAGTGTATGAACAGATCTAAAAAGCTGTGTTTGGTGAGTACATTTACGTTATGTGTTCTGTATTAATTTTTTTCAATATTGAGTCACAAATGCTTTTGTTAGTACATTTTTACTGACTCAAATAAATAAAATCGAAAGAAGTAAAATACAGTATACAAAATTTGTTTTCTTTGTAAAGTGAAATATACATAAAAAGTTGATTAAAAAATATCCAATGTTTCTTTTGATATTAGAACTTAAACTTTTTGTGTTCTATGTGGACATGAGTTCGTAAAAATGCTCATCCTAAAAGTCAACAAGTGAAACAAACTTTTTATGTAATAATTTGCTCAAAAGGCACATTTTTTAAATACGAATATTGATAATCGGTTGGTACATTATTTAAAAAAGATTGAAAAAAGATAACAGACGTGCAATATTTATTTCTTTTATCAATTGAAAAAATATATTCTTTCCAAGTTATAAAATGAATAAAATTAAAGTATCTTAACAAGATAATTGTGCAAAACAATAGGACTATGATGGCCATGAACAGTTTTACATAATAACTACAATGGCGGCTTTCCCCGAGTGGTTAATGCGCCCGACTTGTAATCTAAGGATTGCTGGCGGCGCGGGTCCAAACACCGTCAAGGGCAAGCCGTTGTTTCCGTAAACAAGAAACTTTTCACTCATTGATTAGTACTGTTAGTTCCAGGAATATATTCGAGAGTGTTCTAATAAGCTTAGAGTTTCCAACACAATCGAATTGAAATGAATTAGTATGAACTTAGTAAGTTGAAATCCACAAGTTATCGTTATTTATAATGAGTAGTTTACTGACTGTAAAGAAATTATTTCAACAAATCATTTAAATCTTGTTTTAACTAACTTAACAGTTAAATTCTTCTAAATTTGGATGGCCAAAATAATTCAAATGATATTTCAATAATAAAACTCAAGAAAAAATATACAATAGCAAGAAAGGTTTGTATCATTCTTTATTTTATTTGAAGATGTTTTTAAGATTTAACATATACAAACTTGCTCTATAACAAAAAAGTACTGAAAAGTACTGACGTCGAAAATTAAATCTTTTGCTATCATTGCTTTAAGAGTTTATGCTGAACTTTATCATTTGATTTAACATGACTCCATGATGCATCAAAAATTAGAAAGGGATAGACTGAAGTGGTCATATTTTGTTAATCAATCAATCTCTTATTTCAATTTCAGTTCATATGTCTTTATTCATACTAAATTTCTTTTTTATCATATCTCTGCTTTATTTCGAGTTTGACAATGTGAGAGCGTGTCGCAACATTGACATTTTATGATAAAGAGGTTTGTTTGTTTATCTCTATCATTTTTTTTGCTTCCTGATTTAACTCGACATTTATTTTGTCATCAGAAAGGTTCACATTATCATTTAGTTAAGGAAATGTATACGTAGATATTCGTGATTTGTATATATTTTGATTAAATTGGGAATATTTTATCAAGTACACTTAAAAGTATCAACTATGCTCTTACAAAGTATCAAAAGACGCCGAGATTCGTGATAAAAAGACTTTAAAATGAATAGAAATTATCTCACTGAATATGTCAAGAGCTCACTGACAATGTAAGATTATAGACGGAAGTCGAATATAGTCAACTTATGGCTTTTCTCTTATCAAATTTTGTCACTCAAATCAAAGCACAGGGGAGAAAATCACCGTTATATAAAATCATGTTTGAACTCTTAAAGTCTTATTAATCAATTATGAAGTAGGATTTTGATCTTTGAATAAATATTTGTGTAATATTTTAAATCAAAAGACATACATTCACTGGTTTTAATCATAGTATAAGGGAGGACGTCCGGACTAAACAAAAAGGGCAAAATTATATCGAAATTCACAGAACTCGAAAAGGCCTGCGATGCTCCCAATCGAATTGTTATCCCGTCGACTCGAAGATAAGATATGTTAATATTCAAAGAAATCGTGAGAATATCAAAAAATAATGAACGAATATAAAAAAAAAAAATGTAGCGCACCAAAGATTGGCTTTAGTACTTGATAAAATTGTAAAAAAAAAACGTTTAAAGTTTTACTGTCTGGTTTAGGCCTGTAAACGGGATAAGATTTGTTTGGGAGTCCAAGTGGGAGCATTTAGGAAATAAACTTGTTTTCAGGACTAAACTAGGCAGTAAAACATAACTTTTTTTCAAAAATTATATCAAGTACTAAGGCCAATCTTTGGTGAACTACATTATTTTTTGAAATTCTAACGATGTTTACAAAAAAGTTTTGACTTTTTACTCGAATTCCTTTTCTTCGAGTAGATTTCAAGTAGCTGTTGAACATCTGACGTCATCTTCTAAAAGTGCGGCTTTTCCAGCGTTTGAATGAACGTTGATGTGTACATCATGTTGATATCATTAAAAGACTGATTGTATCATTCAAAAACGGGCTACTAGTATTTATATATTGATAACTAATTTTGGTGATTTTACTTTCCCTCGTAACAAATATCAATTTATACTAATGATTAAGAGAATTGGCAAATCCTGCAATCCATGCATACGCATTCATCACCATTTTCACTGTTATTATGCATTGAATATGGCGCTGGTTATTTGGAATTAGTTATAATTAAGTTAATTGCAACAGGTGTGCTTAATAACGTCTTATCCCTCTTAAAATGGTTTTTGTTCCACACATTATTTTAGGGTACACACCCTTTGTTACGCATTGTCCATACACTGCTAATCATTTTTTTATAAAATGCACGACTGTCTTAAACTGAAGATTCAAAAATCATTGCCACAGTAACACATCTGTGGTTGTTACTAAATAGAGCAAAACTGCATAATGCGCATTGGGGTTCTTAATATGCGTGAATTGAAACTTGCATTTACTTGTGCCGTCCACTTACTTAGTCGATAAAATCAAATCTCCAACGCTTGAATTTTCCATGTCTGCCAACCTTTTCAGTTTCAGCTCAAACTTCTTCTCCAACAGGCAGATCTTGATCCGACCAGTTTGGAAGACAATTAAGTGTATTTATTCATTTTATGATTGTCGGGTATGTAAAATGATGTTTATCGGTTACGGGAGGTCTGGCATTGTCTTTTCAATAATTCCACTCTAAGCTATAAAGTTATTGAATTGCGGCCTGTATTTCACTGAGGCAGACTAACTGCAGACAAAGGGGAAAAATTGTCTTAGATAAAGAGTGAGCAAGAAGGTCAGCACGGGTTGGTAACCACACGGGTAAGGACACACCCATGGGGCTGAGGTAGTGCCAATTATTAAACAAATGGGAGTTTAAGTCCAACCATAAGTTAAAAAATGTAGGGGTGAGAGAGGGGAAGAAGGAAAATAAGGAAGGGGTAGAGGTGCTAACCGGACATACATTGGATAAGGTTTATTCAATAACTTTACTTCACCCTTTCATGTTGTATACGTTTTATTCATTGTTATCATACTGTCGCAATCGTTTTCATAATAAAACTTAAATGATATAGAGTTAAGTATCAGTTTTGCAGGTATATTTACTTAGAAGTAAACCGGAATGGGAATACACGTCAATGATTTGAAAAGCAGCACATACATTCGGGCTGTCCTTATGTTATTGATAGGTAGGCCTTTTTTAATTCAGTTTTATCTATAACATATCAATACAGATTCATTTTAAATGAAGCGTTGTTCTTTTTGTGTTTTAAATAATATATCGTTTGATCCATTCATTGTACCGGCTGTCACACTTTCCAGTTTCGTTAAAGTCATAAGGATGTACAAAAATAATGATTCATAGATTCATAGTTCTTGATATGCTTGAATGTTTTGTTGTTGTTGTTGTTTTTGTTTGTTTGTTTAAGCATATGGCAATACAAGTTTATTACATAATGCATAAAACATATTTACTAAACATTTGAAAATTGTTAGATTCATGTTGCGATTCTTTTAGCTTTTGGTTATGCAAACGCTGGATCGCCTTATATAGCTAACTCTATCCCCTACAACTCATATTCATCTCAATATGAGAATTTCAGTAAGTACTGTGATCTTGTTTCAATATAACTTGCGTAGTTTGTCGTAGAACTGAAGTTTAATATTGCATCTGCATACCGGCATTTACTTATGAACATATAAAAATAGTCTTATCATACAACACGATAAGTTGAACCGAGAGTTATTAATTTTTCAGTATAAGTAGCAGAGATATTAATGAAAGATGCGTAGAAATTTGTTGCTTATGTAAGATTTTTTTTGTTAACATATGAAAGGTCAACATACTAAGTCTCTCCCTTTCCTCCAACAATGTTGAAATGTGCATAAATAGTAGTTGTACTGAATGTATCCAAGAACATGAGAAAAGCAATCAATCATTAGATGTTACATAGATGAAGGTGAAAATTCAACCATCTGGTATCTTATGATAGATCCTATTAATCTCAGTACTGAAAAATAAGGAATAGTTATAATGAGTTTTATGCTTAAACTACGGTACTCCGTTTGGACAGTCGTGATTTTTAATTTAGTCTGTTACCGCGATGCACGATGTTACGATGGTGAAAACGAGATGGCACGATGGTATGATGGTGAAAACACGATTGTACGATGATGAAAACGCGATGGAACGATGGTGAAATCGCGATGGCGCGATAGTACGATGGTGAAAACGCGATGTTATATCGCGTTTTCACCATCGTACCATCGTGATTTCACCATCTTACCATCGCGCAATCACTATCGTACCATCGCACCATCGTGTTTTCACCATCGTTTCATCGTGTTTTCACCATCGTGCTATCACTTTTTCACCATCGTACCATCGCGCTTTCACCATCGCGCCGTCCTGTTTTCACCATCGTACCATCGCGTTTTCACTATCGCGCCATCGTACCATCGCCTTTCGGTCAGTAAAATCAATACACATACAGAAAGATGTCAGATTCTGTTACGAAAGATAATAAAGACAAGTTTAGAATACTTGATATTTAATTTGAGTTATAAATAATAAAACTTGTTATCTTTACATTAAATAAATTGTCCATTTATGTTGTGATACTGTATATAGATCAACGACTATTTAATATATGGTTATGTATGCTATATATATATTTGCATTTTTTCTCCTGCTTTATTTAATATACCAATTTGAAACTGTATATGTACAGTGCACAAGGATAACAACTTTGTTTAAAATTTTTGAGTAATTGCCTTTTGTTAATTTCATGTTCCAAATACTTAGATCTAAAAGATACACAAATAGAAAGGGTTCAATTATGAGAAGGCACACATTGTTGATAAAAATATTACATTGCGCATGACCACCGGAAGACGATGGCACGATGGTGAAAACGCGATGGCACGATGGTGAAAACGCGATGGTACGATGGTGAAAACGCGATGGCAAGATTGTGATAACGCGATGGTACGATGGTAAAAACGCGATGGCACGATGGTGAAAACGCGATGGCACGATGGTGGAAACGCGATGGTACGATGGTGAAAACGCGATGGCAAGATTGTGATAACGCGATGGTACGATGGTGAAAGCGCGATGGCACGATGATGAAATCGCGATGGTACGATGGTGAAAGCGCGATGGTACGATGGTGAAAGCGCGATGGCACGATGATGGAAATCGCGATGGTACGATGGTAAAAGCTCGATGGTAACGATGGTGAAAGCGCGATGGCATAATGATGAAAAACACGATGGCGCGATAGTGCGATGGTACGATGGTTGAAACGCGATGGTACGATAGTGAAAACGCGATGGCACGATGGTGAAAACGCGATGGTACGATTGTGAAAGCGCGATGGTACGATGGTGAAAGCGCGATGGCACGATAATGAAATCGCGATGGTACGATTGTGAAAGCTCGATGGTACGATGGTGAAAGCGCGATGGCATAATGATGAAAACATGATGGCGCGATAGTGCGATGGTGTGATGGTTGAAACGCGATGGTACGATGGTGAAAGCGCGATGGTACGATGGTGAAAACGAGATGTAACATCGCGTTTTTACCATCGTACTTCCGCGCCATCGCGATTTCACCATCGTACCATCGCTTTTTCACCATCGTTCCATCGTGTTTTCACCATCGTACCATCGTGCATCGCGGGTACAGACTAAATAAAAGTCACCATTGTCCAAACGGAATTCCGAATTAAACAGTACCGTCTTCTTACTTAACTTTTCATGGTCTTCCAGTCCATGTTCATATGTTAAAAAATGATATATACCATGTCGTTTAAAAATAATTAATTACAAACAATTAAAGAAATGAACGATTTTTCAATTATAATTTGTATTTCATTTTAATATTCGCTGAATCGACTTAATTCTAATGTCTTACAGAAGGGACTGTTTGTAGACTTCACTTAAAGGATTCTGATGGAAATGACCACATCAGATTTAAACCGGACAGTGACAAAACAAGCATTAATTTCAATTTTGAACCAGATGGAGGTACAAATGATGTCTGGGTCAATATAACAACAAAAAAAGAGTTAGACAGGGAAACTTTAGTAAGCAAACCGTTTGTTTAGTTTTCAATAATGATAGATTCTAGTGCCAAAATAATGTTGTTTTTCTTTTTCTTGGGAAAGTCTGAGACATATGCCTCCTGATGTCCTACATTACTTAAAAAGCAGTTAGGGTGTAAATGTGAAATGTGATTCAAAAATGGTTTAAAAGTTTTACACGGTGTTTCATATAGCATCTGCATAAACATACAGCATTATTCGGTAAACTATTCCAGCAAAAACACAAGCTTAGTATTGCCGAAATTCTCTCTACTTTTAGGGAAGTACGATAAAGATAGAACTTATAATTACTGATGATCAACACAACGAGGTATGAGTTTAAGAGTTTTTAGGCTCTCTCTCTCTCTCTCTCTCTCTCTCTCTCTCTCTCTCTCTCTCTCTCTCATCTATATATATATATATATATATATATATATATATATATATATATATATATATATATATATATATATATATATATATATATATATATATATATATTTACAATATTGAAAGATTTTAATCATTCCTTAAAATTTAAAACAAATCCAAACATGACCAGACATGAATTCATCTGAAATTATGTCAAAGTGGAAAACACATTGAAAACGGGAACGATCATTGAACAAGCAGTATATTCCGCTACTTTTGACTTTTTTTAACTTTGTTAGATTGATAACTTTATCATTTACATATGTCAGCCGCTTCAAATTTTAAATATATATATATTGGTATACTTTCAGATTAAATATGAACATTTAGTTTATATACTTGATGTTAACGACAATTCACCAGTGTTTCAAAGCTTGCCCTACACTTTTGACATAGATGAGGTATAGTATTAAACAAAATTTTCCAATGTGTACCGGAGTATTTTATATTTTTACAGGTTATGTTGTTTTAAATATATTTTATAATAAAGAGTATATTTAGCAAGTGTTAGTTATTAATTTCAATAGAGTAAAGAATGTATAAGACAAAATTATAGAACATTAGGGTTTTCGCCGCATATTTGTAATGGTGGTGGTGGTGGTGGTATTTTATGTACAGGACCACAGTTCAGCCACAGCATCGTTCATTGGCATGTTGTCAAGCAGTGTATCAGTTATAGTCACTTTTGTATGGAAATATGATAACTTCTGTACATGCCAGATCAGAAGTACAGTGCAAATGACCGTAGAAAGAGCTTCATGATAAATCACAACAAAAGTATCTGCATCGTCGGGAATCGAACCCGGGTTGCCCGATTCACAGTCTACCGCTTTACCTATTGCGCTAACGGGACTGTTTTTTTTTTATATCAGTCTATAACTGTTATACCTTCTCTTTTATATTGAAGTTTGATTTCATTAAATTGTATCAATAGCTTCCTTGCAACAAAACAATTGTTTACTCAAACATCAGGGCAACGGACAGAGACAGTGGACCGAATGGAACAGTGACCTTTTCTATGAAGGTAAATTGCCGATTAAGTTCAAAATCGTATGCTAGTATTGTCATCGTTATGACGACCTTTGTAGGAACAGATATATTACAGATAACATGTCACACGGGTGTCACAAGCACATATTTCATATTTGTTGTGACCGTAACTATAACAGTTTAAGTAATTGTAGTGGGTATAATTCTGAAGAGGTGCAAGTTATGTAATGGTGAAAATAATGTAATAATAAAATAAAAATGTAGTGTTGTTATGATCGTGTCAGTTGTGTTTGAAGTTGCAATGTTAGCCAAGCTTTTGATATTGTTACAGCGAAAGATATAATAGTGGTAGCGTAAGTGGCTGTTATGTAGTGGTCGTCTTTGAGTGGTAGTGTTAGCTATTGATACTGTAAAATTGAAAGTTGTTTAAGAGGTATTAGTTGTAACGATTATGATATTGTAGTAGTGGTTCTGATAGAAATATGGTACTAAGGAATGAATGCAAACCAAAACAAAGGTATCATTTTTATAGAAAACCGGTTAACAGAATGCGAAATTAACACCATTTCGCGAAATGAACATATCGCCTACGAAATGGACATTTGTTTTACAAGTTATGGTTTAATCGTGATAAGTATTATCGTTTTTTTAACAAACTTTTAACATATGACATAAAACTACAGATTGAAACATTTAATATTACTATTTTCCTATTTTATAGTCATATTTCTGAAAATAATCTGGCCTTTACGAAATGGAGTTCGCTTACGGAAAGACATTTGCTTTACAAATTATAGTTTAACTGACATTATAAATAGAATTTCTTCTATTAACTTACAATCTTGGACGACAAAAATATATTTTTTGTCCGAGGTTTAACATAATATATAAAACAGGGTTTTTATTTGAAACCGTTGATGTATAAAACAATAAACTGAACTATGTGACATTATTATAAGATTATTTTCAAATGTACAAGTATAAATAATGAAAATAGTATTACCAAAATTGTTTTAATAGTAATTTCATGTCATATATCACTTCGTTATTAAAAATGATATTAATTAATACACTTAAACCAAAATTAAAAAAACAAAACAAACAAATGTCAATTCGAAGTCGAAAAAAATCATTTAGCGAAATGGAGTCCATTTCGCATTCTTTTAATACTGATAGAAAAAAATCTATCATCATTATCGTACGTGTGTAGAAAATAAAACTTGTAAAACTGTTTATGAGCAACGAACATTATGTTGGTAATATTATTGTGTTTGACCAATGAAACGTATTGTAGAAAAATGTTTATCTGTCATTTCTTGTGAGAAATTTGATTCAACATTTTTCCTCAGTTTATTGAACACGCCTCTATCATTTCTCATGCAGAATACCTATATAAACACAACAGTACTTTATCACACCAGTGTGATAATTGTGAAACGTGGCGAATGTGCCCATCGTTTTGGATATGAATTCATTGCAAATTGTTTCTCATACTATTTATAGTTTATACATAACTATATCCTTAGTGATGAAGTTAAAAATTGAAAAGTTGAATTTATTAATGAGATAACAATTTTATTTAAAAAAAAATCTTATTAAAGCCCTATATATACAAAGGCATAGACGATTAAAAAATTGAACGTTAATACCATAGCATCAAAATTACGTTCCGCTTTTTGGGAGTGTATAGAAAGGATTTTACCAATCTCATCACATTGTAAAGCATGTACCTGAAAAGTAATCCTATAAAATTTTACACCGGATTCTGATACAGACAGAAATATTAAAGTTAACTGATTAGTTAACGAGCCGAGTTTCCGCGAAATGTTACTCAAGAGACCGTTATTACCGTCTTTGTCGCAGAAAATTCTTTTCCTTAAGTCATTTACAGAAAGACTGTACCTAGTTCTTTTTTATTTGTTTTTAAATATTTGCCGTCTGTTTAGCGCAGTAAAATACCCCAAGTTAAAAAATTTCTGACTATTTCCCATATAACCAATTTCTTCCGATTTTGGAATAAACCGTTTTAAAAGGGGATAACAATTATCTTAAACATGAAATGAAATGTTTTATCGGAGTTTTATCAAAACAATATATTAATAGAAATAAAATAATATAAAACAATATATATATATAATGTATAAAGATATAAATAACAATCGAACTTTATAAAGACAACATGTTGCTGTTTATCTTTTGATGTACATGTACATTTCTTTACAACCAACCAAAATGTAAAAACAAAATGATCGACTTGTTTTTATTTTTACTTTATTTTTCATTCCATTACAGCCAAAGACACAGGTAGGAATTTGTTTCTATAGAAATAAATGAAATGAGAAAATGATATTAACAAAATCGTTCTATACTAAGCCTTTGTTTAGCTAAGTGTCAATTAAGAGCTGATTTTGACCACACGATTAATTATATATATGAATGGTTGTTAACATTTTTTTTTACTTAAAAATAAATTTTCAGTAATTTTTTTGTTTGTAAATTATTCTTCTCAAAAGCTGACAGACAGAAAGATGAAAAATCAGACGCATTTATCTTTCAGACAGCGGAGTACAATAATACCTTTTTGATAGACCCTGCAACTGCGACTGTTTCATTAGTAAAATGTTTATCGTTTGAAAGGAATACCTACTATCATTTTGTGATAACTGCAAAGGTATATTATGATATATTATAATAATGATAACACAAGTTCTTTAAAGTTGGCGGTCTAGCGGATTGAAGTTGGCACGAACTTCGTGGCATTGCGAATTTGCGGCATAGTGTTAGTGAGGGTTAAGTTGGCGGCATGGTGGCATAGTGGCATAAAACTATAAAACTTCTTTCAAAGTTATTTTTCTGCTAAAGTATCATTTAAATGGCAAGAACAGTTAAGAGGCATTTTGTTTTTATGAAATTGCTTTGGAACTTTTGGCCACCAGGCCGCGGTCTTCACCAAAGCTTAAAATTTCCCAGGCCGTAAAACAATATTAACTTCACGTATATGTAAAACATATGATAAAGATTTTTTAAAAACTCTTTTTATAATTGTGTTATATTATGTTTAAAAAAAATACAGGTATAATTGAAATGGTTCAAAATGATTTTACAACGTTTAAATGTTTTCTCATTTATGCTTTCTGATAAGGTTTTGTTCACAGTAGGTAATCAGAATTGTATGTCATTCGGAAAATGCTGTCTTAAAATAGAAAATTTCGAAAAAGGAAGAATGCTTGTCAGTGACATGTTAACGCTTGATTTATTTACAATGCCATTCGTGTAGTAAGTCAAATCAGCGCCATGAATCACGAAGAATATGTTGTAGTGTTTTAGTGCTGTCTGATGTCGATTCTACTTGAAAAGCATTCTAAAATATATTTAATGTATGCATACATGTCATAGTAAAATATTATATTCATTGCAATTTATGACATTCGTTTTAATTTGGTCGGAATGAGATACATGCCTATGATTGATGCATGTACTGTATTATTTCTTGCAAATCCATAATTATAAAATTTACGTATATTGAGATAGATGCATCCATAACAAACTGATTTGATTCACACAAAAAACTTCGGTCTCGTGTGAGTCAGAACCCTCTCATAGTCAGACTATTTCAACATCCAAAGACAGAGTTTGGGGTACTTTTGTTCTGGGTCGAAATAATGATATCCGTCATAATTATGTTGCTGTTCGGATCGGAATATCCGTTCTGAGAGGGACACACCCAGTGGGCGGTAACGAGGCTTGCCATTGATATTCTCACATAATTATTTACGGTCATCACTTTTTATTAAAAAAAAAAAATGCGAAATTTAGCCCGCAACATCCGAATTAAATACAATTCGGTTGGCCGCCTTACGTGTTATATGTCAAAGAGTGTAAACTCAAACAAGCCCATTGATTGAAATATTCAGCACTGGAGTTTTAAAACTGATTTTAAATGTTTGTTTAATCCCCGTGTTAGAATAAGTAGATATATATCCACTTTGAGAAACATAAATAAATAACACATGGGTCTGTGGGTAACAGTAAAGATATCATCCCGAAGAAAATAATGTTACCCGAGGCGCAGCCGAGGGTAACAGTATTTTTACGAGGGATGATAATTTTACTGTTACATACAAACCCATGTGTTATTTATTTTATTAACCTGAACAAATACTGTGATGATCTGAATTTGTCAACTTAATCTAACTGTAACAAAAATAAACCAAGAGTAGCAATAACGATGCTATCCTACAGATGTCTGTCCGCCAACTTTATCAAATTACCCTTTGTTGCATGCTTTAATCGTCTGCATGTTCCAGTTTGACACAAAATTATTCACATTTCAATTACTCCCCTTGAAAACGGATGTTTATTTTTTGACTATTCAACGAATAGATATTTCATACGCGAAAAGAACTCTAGGGTGCAAAGAACTAAATTTTATGAGAATCATAGTTACTTTGGTGATGCCCTATCGTCGAAAATAAGAATGAATCGAGAGAAAAATGGCTGCCATTTTATTTCATTTTATTTAGAAGATAGACGACATGACCAAATTTTATACTGTTAAAAATACTGTTACCTATGTAACAGTACAAAATTCTTAGTCATGTGGTACACTTGCATTAACAGTTAGAATAACTGCCAGAGGCATATGGGAAATTAACATTACGAAAAAAGTGAGGGGTAAAAATGTTTATTATCAAGAGTTTTTTCATGTCCCCTAGCCAAGCATAATTTTCAAGGTTTGCTCATTTTATGTTATTTATTAAATAGGATGGTGGACCAAACGGCGGGTTAATATCAACAGCTGATTTGATTATACAAGTTAAAGACGTGCAGAATAAACCACCTTTCTTCACTGGTACATATAGAAAAACTATCAATGGAAGTATTGCACGTGTATGTAATTCTTTAAGATGTGTTATGTATAACGACGTATTTTAAGACTTGTCTTGCTGTTCTAAATAGTTCAGCTGTCATTAAAAAGTGTAAAAACATCATGCATGTAAATATATAATATATATTACATATTAAGAAATCCTATTCAGTTCAATTCGTTAAATGACATACAATATGTATTTACAATGAAATTTGTATGACGACTCTAGTTGACATAGCTTTCAAAATTTATTATTAATTTTCATAATATTATAATTAATATCGCAGCATGCTTAAAAAGTTGAGTTCATAATAATAGCCTTATAAGGGAAAAACATTGAAAAATGTTAATTTCACCGTTCAGGATATAATGTGAAATCATTCCACTGTACTTTCTGGCAAGCTACAAGAGCAATGATCAGTATTCATATCAGTTTGTTTGTTAAATATATTAAAAGATAGAATATTAGAGTGAAATAAAAACAAAACTTAGGCGATAATGTGATAAAATATCTTAATTTTCTGTAAAAAAATAGTCAATATTATAGGACAGCTTTAATTTTTTAAGGGAACTGATGTAATTCAAGTCAACGCGCTGTTGATGGTGATTCAGGGATTTCTAACAAGATATATTATTCTGTTCTTTGTAAGTCACCAGTTTTTTATAATTTTTATGAATTAAGTTTTCTACAGTTAATTGTAGTAATAAACATGAATTACTTAAAGTTTATGGTTTAAATTGTCATGTATTACCTTGTCCACGGACAAAGATAAATATTTGATTCATTTCAGAAGTGAGATAAATTGATATAAATGCACTGGTGGAACAGAATTTAACATAAATAGGAGTTTTTACCAGTTACTTACTTTTATGGATTATAATAAGATTTCCTCCCTTCCAAAAACCAGCTTTAAATCATTTTGTATTGTGAAAACAAAATGCAAAAATAACAAAACAATACGTTAAATTTTATGTTATTTGTTTTTTTTTCTATTAAAACTGTTCATAATTTTACTTTTTTTATATACACAGATAGCAGTTGTGGAGACTTGTTTGCTATAGACAATCACACCGGTGTCATTTATGCTGCAACGAATGTAGATATAAATACAGGACAAGTCAGCCAACATTTTTTGGAAACTCTTGTTTTGACCAAAAGAAGTCCCGTATATTATAAAAAAAAGGGAAAAATTTTTTTTGGGCATCCCCACTTTTAAAAATCAAATAAAAAAACATTGGGTTCATGTCTTGTTTGAAAACATCGAATTTAAGATTTTCATTTGAAACATTGTTTCACGTTTTCTAAATCATCTTAACAATTCTCATGGTTTGCTGTACATATTATGTTGATTTTATTAATGTTCTTCTAGGCAAGTGAAAATAGAAATGCCACACCAAAAATACAGTACGGTTACACAACTACATCGACAAATGTTTACGTTAAATACTGTTGGGTGTTAAACAGACAACACACTTCCGAGTGTCAGTCAAGCCTGCCAATAACGCCGGTACTCAATATACAACTACAAAACACATCACCCCTACCAATATATACGCTTTCTTGCAAAGGTACTAAGTCTTGTCGCTAAAAATAATTCACATTTTCGACTTACATCTTGCCACACAAATATCAAATATAATCACACACGATTACGGGTTTTATTACAAATAAACCTTATCAGAATTGTAACAACCTCCCTGCTTACTTTATGAAGGTACAGTTATCATCAGTATAACACGTCAATCTATTATAAGGATCTATAAACTATTCTTTTCCAAACAATACCTTTAGTGTTATCGCCAAACTTATTTCTGTATTTATTCTTAATGTATAAGTGATTGCGTCTTAAAAAATCAATTTACCTCCAAAGAAGTCCATAAAGATAAAGCTTTTTCACTCTTGCAGAGGACTGGGACTTTGACAATCCTTGCAATAAAAGCAATAT